CTTAGAGAATGTGTGTGTGTGTGTGTGTATTAGTACTAAATAAACTGCCCTGTTTAGGAAACCCAATCCGAACAGGGAACCCAAATGAGATGCGGCTCTCTTTGTCAGTGTGTGTGACAAGTGTAGGGAGAAGGCAGAAGGAAAAGTAGTTCCTATCCTACACATTGACTTGCTATGATTAGAAACAGAATCAGAATCAGAATCAAGCTTTATTGGCCAGGTATGCTTACACATACGAGGAATGTGGTTTTGGTTACAGGAGCTCACAGTGCACAGTATCAGACAAACATTTACATGTAGTGAATAAAATAAAATAAAACATGCATTCCTACCATCACTTACTCATACACACACACACACACACACACACATACACACAGAGTCATACTTGTAACCTTTACATGATCTTTTTCACTTTTTCTGTTTAATAATACTGATATATAATCAGTTTACTTCTTAAGGAAATTAGGCGCAGTGGGTAGTGCTGTCGCCTCACAGCAAGAAGGGCCTGAGCTCAATTCCTAAATTGCCCCTAGGTGTGAGAGTGTGTGTGAATGTGTGTGCTGGGATAGGCTCCAGCTCCCCCCACGATCCAGAAGGATAAGCGGCTTAGAAAGTGTAAGCTTAAGGAAATCACCTAGTATCTATAATGTCATGAGAGGATTAATTCTCAAACTGATTATCTCTACATACTACTCGACACACCCCCTACAAAGTAGGCAAGATCAGCCCCTCTGGGGGAAAAACATACAGGAGGGTGCTGGTCCATGAGTGTGCCAGTAGTAACAATTGCAGCCTAAGAGGCATTAACGTCTTTACCTGTCTTTAAAATTGCTATAGCCTAATAAGACTCTAGCTCACCTTTCTACAGTCTGAAAATAAACAAAATGACAATGATAAAACAGCCTGGAAGGAGATCCAGGGCCTCATTCACCCAATGTTTTTTCTTGTTTAATAAGAAACATATGTTCTTAAATTGTTTGTACCTTTGTGCTCTTGAGTGTGTGTAGATTCTGTTCTTACCTAAGAACAAATCCCTAACAAGAAAACATTCATGAGTATGAAAATCTTCATGAAAACTCCATAAGTAAGTTTTAAGAAGAAATTTCTTCTTAAGAACAGATGGTAAATAAGGCCCATTCCTCTCTATCACCTCTTGATTTTTGTTCCACTGCATGATAAAATACCTTGAAGGAGAGTTAATTCTTGTAAACATCCTGGAAGGATAACAGCCACAGAGCCATTAATGTAATAACACTGACTGATGAAAAGATCAGAAGGAGAAGGTGTTTTAAACCAAGTTCAGAGACATCAACTAGATTAGCAAATGCTTCTATCAAAATACCAGCCTGTCATTAATCTGTCCATCGGGAAAACATAATATGGAATGAGCCTAAACAGCACACTGCTAGTGAGCCTGGAAGGTGGTTTGTTTATGAATCACCTAACAGTGTCAATCTTAATAGCTACTAATAACCACTCACTCACGCTTTTGAGTTATATAAAGCTTGTATGTATTTTAATCCACACAAACATAAGTCTTCCTGCACATTAGTCTTAAAGGGCAGCAACTATAAAGCTCTTTATACTGCTATGGAACCTGAACAGTAATCATTAAAAAATAGGTTAGAATGCTAGATAGCAGCTAAATGAACCCCTCAAAATGTGTTTGTTACGTAGCAGAGTAAGGTTAGGGAGTAAGTCATACAGGCCACAGTAAAAAAAATTCCAAGATAGATAACTGGCCAGTTACAAAGTGTTAACAAGCCCAGTTAATAAGCTTACAAATGACTGTAAGTCTACAACAAATGTTAGCTTAGGATCAGGATCAGATATTAAACTGTTTAAAACAAAGATGAATACTAAAACTTTACTACAAATCACTAGAAGGGTTGTGCGTGTGACAGTCTTCAATGAATTTCTCAGCAATTTGACCACATAGTCTCTTCACACAGGCCCCTTGTAACATGAACAGTTTTCCATCAACAATATAGTCGTGTGACTGAAACTAGAAATATCACATAAAACATAAATAGGTAGGAGTGCATTAGTTGAGTGAAAAGTTAAGAGATGAAAAACCTGGATATACAGAAATGCCCCCTGTTCATTTACATCTGAATAAAAAACTTCAATTCCGTGAGAGCTTTCTATAAACTCTCTTTACATCTACATTTACACACTGATCACAGAATGTTGGTTAAAAGAATTCCAGTTCCATCTGCACTCTCTACAGTTTTCAATCTCCCTTAAAATGTACAAATATCCTGTGTCCACTTCACATGGAACTATTAGGAGGGTGACTGGAATGTGCCTTTAACTCATGAAGTTGTGGCTGTGACCAAACCTACAATGCTGCCTCAGCCTCTGCTTCTGTCATTAGATGTGCAACAGTTTCTGAACAAGCACAAGCATATATTCAGACTGAAATTCAAATCATTAACACCTTATTTTTGATGTCAGAAACATTTTTTCAAGCAGAGTAACAAGAAGAAGTGACTGAAGTCTGAAGAATGTTTCTGTGCATTCATCATTTGCTAATTTAAAATAGTAGTTCATGACCAATCTCAAAATTTTCAGATTGTTAGATCATTTTCTATTCGTTTAAAAAAAGAGTGATGGCTCCATTTGCAGACTGTATTACTTACTGAGAAGAGTAAATTAAATATCAGAATTAACCATTTTCTCTCTGCATAAAGTTAAGCTGGTGCTTTTTAATCTATTTATTTAACTATGTTACCTAGAGAATTAGCACCCTCTGCTGGAAAGAAAGAATTCTGCCTTATGCAAAATTGTGGGCAGCCCTGATCATATTAAGTTTTGTTGATTTTTTTCAAATAAGCTAACACATCCAGGGAACAAACTTAAATATGGTGTTTTCTGCAAAATTTAGTCTACAACTTATATTTATTTAAAATGTTCGGAAAAAACGAAGCATAAAACTTCAGCCATAAATAGTAATTGTACATAAAAAATTGTAGAAGTGTGTGAACTTATTAGAGGGCGAGTTAACTTATTTTTACCAACTGTAGGTTTGATGTCTCCTTGAAAGATCTAAACATTTCTACCGTATATCATATATTAAGTTATTCTTAGGGCTAACAGAATGGTCAAAAAAATGGTCAGTAGGGCTATTGATCTATTTTGAGCTTGAAGAAACAGACTTGAGGCTATTCAAAAAGCACACTTTGGAGCAGGATTACAGTGAAGAAATGAACATGGTGAAAGTTACAGTGAAATAGCTGACATATAGCTTCCAGATTATAAAATTGCTGGATAAAATTCACATTATGTTTCTAGGCTTTGCACTGTGGGAAATTAAAAATATTATTTTATTTCAACTTATGTGAAAAGAACACATTTTGCATGTGTGTCATAATGAGCACCCTAATTTCGGTTTAGAGATGCTTCCTTTACCAAAATAACAAATCTGAAACGTCTGTGAACTCTGTCCATGCAGCATATTTTTTACATAATTATGTGGTATCTTGGCTGCAAGGCCAAGCTGGGATAGCTACTGAAAAATTTGTAGTTAGCTACTTTGTAGCTACTTTCCCAAAATTTGTAGCTAGCTACAATTTAGCTACTTTTCAAGAAAGAGTAGTGGCTACTTTTTAGCTACTTTTTGAAAAGTAGTGCACTACTTTTTAGCTACTTTCAAAGCGTTATTGTCAGAATGTTTGTGAATCGCCACCTGACACACCAAACAAGCCCAACTGACAGTGAGAACAAGACACTGCATTTAATCATGTGCCAAAAACATATAATTGAAAAGCTGCAAATGTACAAAAAGATCACCAAAAAGTGAGTTTAAGTGTAACCAACAATCAAACTTACACAACCAAAGGTGTGATATCCAACAAAAATTTAGACTAATGGCAAAGTTAATCATTCCAGGTTTTTCCTAACAAAAATCAACAAAAATAACCGAATACAAACCAGAGAATTTTGTGCAACGCATTGTCAACTGTTGAAATAAAACTGCTCCAATTTAAACATTTCAGCAAGATTCACCGATCAGGCATAACATGACCACCTCCTTATTTCTACGCTCATTGTCCATTTTATCAGCTCCACTTATATAGGTGCACTTTGTAGTTCTACAATTACAGACTGTAGGCCATCTGTCCATTCCTACCCTGTTGTTCAGTGGTCAGGACCCCCATGGACCCTCACAGAGCAGGTACTATTTGGGTGGTGGATCATTCTCAGCACTGCAGTAACACTGACGTGGTGGTGTGTTAGTGTGTGTTGTGCTGGTACGAGTGGATCAGACGCAGCAGTGCTGCTGGAGATTTTAAACACCTCAGTGTCGCTGCTGGACTGAGGATAGTCCACCAACCAAAAATATCCAGCCAACAGCATCTTGTGGGCAGCGTCCTGTGACCACCAATGAAGGACTAGAGAGGATGACCAACACAAACTGTGCAGCAGCAGATAAGCTATCGTCTCTGACTTTACATCCACAGGGTGAACTGACAACACAGGGGCGTCTAATAGAGTGAACAGTGAGTGGACAGTGTTTAAAAACTCCAGCAGCACTGCTGTGTCTGATCTACTCGTACCACATCCTCACCTGGTGTAGCAGGAAAATAAAGATGCAAGTAAATGATCCCAAATGATCCCCAGCCAGTCCACAATTTTGCTCGATCCCAATTCACAACACAAAGGGGACAGAGCAAAAATATGAAAAACATTGTCCTTGATTTTCCCTTAGTGCAGTCTGGTTGAAATTCCACTCCATGAAGAGGAGTCTACCCTCAGTTTAATGCTGTGCTAAAAGTATTTTCTCTGAAACACGTCATTTTGTTAAACATTTTCTGAAATGACGTTAGCCTAAAGCAGTATTAGTGTAGCCACAACTTTGCAAGCGACCAGTGAGGCAATTTTTTTCGTTTTTCACAAACATTCTGAGGTCCTGTATTGTTGCCGTACTGGCGCGACATCTTATTTCCGGGGAGTGTTTTCTACGCTTACTCCTCCTTCCACCAGTGTAAGAGGTCCCGTTTCCGACCGGTTTATTTTCGCTCCTCCCGTGTCGGCTGGTTTCTTTCTGGATTCAACTGCAATGGCGGAGCAGCAGCAGTTCTACCTCTTACTGGGGAACCTGATGAGCCCTGATAACAATGTCAGGAAGCAGTCAGAGGTATTGATTATTCACAACTGCTAAAACGACATATGCCTCTAATTATAACGTTTGTGTTTCAGGCGCCTACTTGATGTAACCTAGCTAACGCTACGTGTTTCATATCTCGGTGTGGCCCAGCCCACGTGTGAAGGCACAAGTTTTCGGGTAGTCTGCTAAATTATAGTGATCTAGCTACTTGATCGTTAGCTAGCCAGATACATGCCTAGATAAGTTAGATCTAAGTTAGATCGCTACCGTTACCTATTTTTCACTAATCATGGATGCACGAGTGGCAAATATTTTCAGTTAGCTACGTTTCTTGAGTTTGTTTAGCACACTATGCAAGTTGGTCTGATAGCAAGCTAGGCTAATTTGCTAGTTCCACTATGAAACGTTAGCTAACGTTAGCTGACCATGTCAAGATTCAGTAGCTAGCTAGCGACAACGTCGACACCAGCGTTCACTTTTCTATTGTGAAACTGCCATGTAGCTAAGTGTGTTGGCCAAGAGCCCCGTTCCGTTCCATTGAGGTGACTGGTAAAGGCTACAAGCTAGCTAGTTAGCTAGCTAGGTTACATTCATATCATAGTTGTTATAGCTAACATTAAACTAATGACAGCTGAGCTGGCAAATGGTAGACGGAGTTAGAGCAGTTTCACTAATGATATTAACGTTACTTGTTACAGATTGGCACGGTGAGCATAACCGTTGTCCAAAACTCAACTCTGAACAACCGCCGTGGAAAGCGGGAAGTGCCCGAATTCTCCAAGCGGCAAACTTCGAAACTCCACACACAAGTGGGCTGAATCAGTTGTGCTAGCTGATGTCGACTACACTTCGGCAGGCCTTATTCGCCGTGTACATCTTTCTAAGAAGTACCTAATTAGCTTGCTAGCTGGTTAGCTAAAATAAAGAACTGAAGAACACCGCTTATATTGTACGGTTATATTTGGGGTTTGCATTTATTAGCTACAGTTGGGTCAGCTTCACAAGGAATGGATTTCTTTCTATAAGCTAACATTACATCTTGTTAGCTTCGTCTTACGGCCCTTCTTTTAATTTTGCATCTAAACTTGCACTTTTCCTGATGCTCATGAGCTAAACTTGGTAACTTGCCATGGCGATTTAGTCAGGGTAAGTCTTTTGTTCTCTTTGCGATTAAGCGCGAATCCCCGCTAAAGCTTAGCTGCGTGTCCTTTCTCTGTTGATGTGAGCAGTCAGCACTTTCTTTTATTTAAAGACAATGCAAGGCCGACGTGCCGCTGCTTTTACTACTCGGTTGGAATCCTAGTCTGGCTGCCACAAGATTAGTTAGCTAAGTTACTCCTCTTTGCTTTTTGCTAATGATAATGTTATGTAGGTTAATGTTAGTAGCATCTATTTAGTTTACGGCCCAAGTTGATTCCATGTCCAGTTTACGCTTAACTAATTACTGTGGTTTAAACAAATAGGCAGTTAGACAATAGCGATTTCCAACTTTTGTGTTCAATACCGGGTAGAAATATAAATGATGAGCTTCCGGAAGGCTGAGTAATGATTGATCCCGTAGGTCGGTGGGGTGGGAGGAGATCCTGGAGCAAAAAAAAGGTGAGGTTCCCCATAACATTGGATGTTAATGGATTATTTGAAGCATTAAACTAACTAAGCACACCATATGATATTGTAGAAATACAGTAACTACAAACGGTGATCCAACTTTGAAAGTGGCACATAAAATCTGAACACAAACACTGGAACACACAAAAACCAAAATACTTATTCAAATGGTGCATATAATCATGAACCTGCACCAGCCACATTTCATTACAGGGTTTAATAAAGTAATATTCATGTTATAAAAGTGTTTTCCCACTGCACATTCACAAACAAGACCTGACCCAAACGTGAACCAACTGAACGGGTGCTTCTAGTTCTTTTCCCACCCGTTTGAGAGGCAGTTGGAACCATTAACAACAATTAATGATTTTAATGGACTTTCTGATCATTGTTATTCTAAAGAATGTAACTTAGGCTAATTAGCTACCTTGCTTCCCAGAAATTAAACAATATACCACACAACTCTGCACACACACTCTCACAAATGTCTGTATTTACACAGTCATGTGAAGTATCAAACAAAGCTTTTTTTCTCTTCCAAGTATTAAAAAAAAAAAGCAAGCGCTTGATCGGCACTTCGTTTACCATGAATTGCCATAACCTACATCTGCTCTTAAAGTAACTGAAGCAGAAACCAAACAACTCTTGTGTAAAAGCCTATTAAGATTTTTTTTTGATGCTCACACCAGCCAAATGAGTGCTGTATAACAGGTGAGAAGTTGCATGAGTTTGAAAAGTCAGCATTCTTAGTAATGCTGTGTTGTCCTTTAATTTGAACAATCCATTTTAATGTTTCCTCACAACTTACAACTGCTGCTAAGGGGTCACAAGTAAAGAACAGCAGTCAGTTGATTGCTACTGTGGAAATTGCTGTGTTTTTCCCCTGTATCCTGGGATCTGAATGATATTGCCCTTTTAGAGTCACGCTTGTTTGGTTTGTTTATGCTGCACATTTGCAGCATCTTAATAAAGCACTCTGTTTAAAATGCTGTTGACCCTTTACAAGTGCTTTTTTATTTATTTATTTAAATATAATGCTTTTGTATAGGAAACATATGACACCATCCCTGGATCAACAAAAGTCACGTTCTTGCTGCAGGCCATCCGTGATGCATCAGCTGCTGAAGAGGTATGTGAAAAATCATTTGTCTAGATGGATTAGAGTACTATGTTTTTGCACAGTAGACAAACATTTGCAGCATTTGAAGTGTTTGGTAATGCAGTCCCTGAGGGTTTGCCTGAAGTACTGCTCTTCTGTGCTCCATTGCTTGTTCTCCAGCCTCTGGGTGTTACATGTTAAAATTGTACTTCTCCCTTCCTGTTCTTTTCTACAGGTTAGGCAGATGGCAGCTGTCCTGCTGCGACGATTGCTATCCTCAGCATTTGAAGAGGTCTACCCAGGTTTGACTATAGATGTTCAGATGGCCATCAAAACAGAGCTGCTTGCCAGCATCCAAATGGATGGTTCTTCCAGTATTCGTAAGAAGGTCTGCGACGTAGCTGCTGAGCTGGCCCGCAACCTACTTGGTTAGTTGCTTATAATGATTGTCCCTCTCTTGCTATTTTTCCAAAACTTTAGTTGTCTCTACAAGTTTGTTTTGGTAACCTCTTCTCTGACTGTAGCATGTGAAATATCAGAGCCAGACGCACACTTCCAGAAGAAGTACTGCATGTACTAATTCTTTTGGTTAACCATGACCTGTAATGCTTTTTATTACATTAGACACATCTGCCTTAGTAATTAGAAGTAACTTCACTGTCTTGTCCTTGTTGCTCAAGACGATGATGGAAACAACCAGTGGCCAGAAATTCTCAAGTTCCTGTTTGAATCTGTTAACTCACAGAATGTTGCTCTACGAGAGGCTGCACTTCATATTTTCTGGTGAGGTGTCGTTTTCTCTTTTTTGTGTGTTTTGCAAAATCCTGCAAAATAAAATCATTTTGTAAGATTTTTTGTTTTTAAAATGTTTTCAGGGTTTTTTTATTTATGCAAGTTGATCTAACACTTAACCCAAAAAATTGTGCACAGGAATTTTCCCGGTATATTTGGCAACCAGCAGCAACATTATATGGAGGTTATTAAGCGCATGTTGGTGCAGTGTATGCAAGATCAGGAGAACCCACAGGTCAGTTCAGCACATGGACTCACATCAGGTAGCTACTGCAGAAAACAGCTCATATGTTCATATAAGTAGGAGTGTAGGTCACAGTGGAGCAGTATCCCTCCATCAGTGGAGACCCCATGTGCTGCACCTATTTAAAGCAGGGACACACATGCTCAATTGTTAAGGACTAACACCAGTTGATTTGAGTACACACTTGTGGCCACGCTTCCCTTTTGAAGATAAGACTGGACAGCTCTGCTTTTAATAGTACATGTTTTTTAAATTCTTTGCACAATGTATTGTATCAGAGATTGTGTTCTGTACAGGAACTGGAGATGAATAATTATCAGTAGTAGTAATTATAAAAATAAGAGGTTGTTGTTATTGTTGTTATTATTATTATTATTATTATTAGTAGTAGTAGTAGTAGTAGTAGTAGTAGGAGTGTTGTTATTATTATTGCTAGTCCCTGCCCACATGACAGCCAAAAGTCAGAAAACTTTTTAGAGGTGGACAGATGTCACTATTTTGTGATAAAATATTACAAAATTTTCAAAAAAATGTTTCTACAGATTTTCAGGATATGATGAATTGTGTTTGTGTGATGAATTGTTTGGTGGGGGTGGGGGAGTGCCTCAGTCATTGCATCTGTTTTACATCCCCTTTCTTTTAGATTCGCACCCTGGCAGCACGCGCAACTGCCTCCTTTATTCTGTCCAATGAGAGCAACACTGCGCTACTAAAACATTTCTCTGACCTTCTGCCTGGTATACTACAGGTGAACTATTTTTAATTTGTTTTTGCTTGTTTATTTATGGTCACATGTATTTCTTTTTGATTTGAAGTCTGCGTAATGGCCAAAACTTTTTTCTTTTCATTTTTTGTGATGCATTTATTATTTTCCACTTGAAGCACAACCACCCCCATTCCAGCCCTGACCCACACGCACATGGGACTTACAAAAGAAGAGAGGAGGGGGAAAAAACATAGCTACAACATAGGACACATGAGAATTGAGTTACATCGTTCACAACTTAAACACAGCGTATAGTTAAGCTATTTCTTGCAGATGACCGTTCCAGATATAGGATATCCAGTAAGGTATGGAGCCAGTGACGTATGGACAGGTTGTGAGGGGCTAGCCAATGCTGGACAATGACTTTTTTCGCTGCTGTTAAGCCAGCCAGCCATATTTTCCAGGAACTTAGTTATCATTCAGTAAATGAAGTTCGGGGTCCATGGGGAGGTATGTCTTGGTCAGAGAAGAGATGGAATCACCAACCTCATCCCAAAAAGCATAAACTTTTGGGCAGTCCCACATAATATGCATAAAAATCCCCAGAGTCCCATTTGGACAGAAAGTACCGAAGGGGTGAAGGCTTAAACCCATCACATGTCTTACCCATATTTTCAGATGGATGAATTCATGATTGGGGTTATGTGATGCCCTAAAAACATTAGCCCATGCTATTTCCCAGTTTACCTACCTTCCTCTCTGTGACATAAACTTAGCATAAATAAAATACTATTCTTTTGGCAGCCTCTGTGATCCAACTAATTGTTTGGTCTTTCAAGTCTGAGTCCCATTTAACATTGTGCTTTCAATGCAGATCTGAGTCTAAAATAAAAGAATAAAGAATGCTTGGGTATCCCATGATGTGCAAACAGTTCCTCAAAAGATCTTAGAGAATTGCTGCCATTGATGTCTTCAAGAACGCTTATACCTTTTTCTGCCCATGAGTTTTGGATGAACGGTTTGTTCCCTGTTAGAAGATTGTTGTTGAACCAGATTGGAGATAATTTATGCCATTTAATATGCAACCCCATGTGCTTCTCTGCTGCTTTAAAGGTTTGAAGTATATGTGTCATTACCAGACCATACCTAATTGCGCATTTTTAGAGGAAACCCCTGGAAATAAAAAAAATCCTCTAATTGAATTGGGGCTACCTTTGTTTTGTGTTTTGTTTTGTTTTGTTTTATTTTCCACCAGGGTAGGTTAGAGTTTGGGTTGAGCCAGTCTTTAATGATTTGCAGAGTGAATGACCAATTGTAAATTTTGAAATTAGGATAGGCCCACCCACCTTTGGATTTATCTAGCTTCAAGATTTATCTTTTTGTATGTGGACGCTGTCCATTCCAGATATATTTGGTAATTAAGGAATCCATCTTTGACCAAAACCCAACCAAGGGGGATAGAGATAGCATTGAACTAATGAAGTTTATCCGGAGGTAAAACATTCATCTTGACCACTTATATGCACGCTGGCATTGAGGCTGGTAGGGCTGTCCATCTTTTAATGTCTTCTTCTGTGGATTTGAGAATTCTGACAATTTATTTTAGCAATTGCAGCAATGGAAATTTTCATCTGAATACTTAGATAGGTTACTTAAGTGGCAATGGGAATTTCTTGAGGTAGTGTCACCTTGTTCTTTTCTGTATTGATTAGCATTAATGCTCACTTTGTTGGATTAATTTTAAAGCCAGAAATGGAACCGAAATTCTTTAAAATGGTATTGGGAAGTGAGTTTTCAATATCTGAAAGAAACAGAGTATCATCTGCATACATTGATACAGAGTGGCTAGATGAGCCTATTTTAATTGGAGATATTGAGGAACAGTTTCCTATATATTGAGCCAGAGGTTCCATAGACAGGTTAAATATTAATGGAGATAGCCCACAGCCTTGACGCGTGCCCCGAGATACACTGTATTGCCAAAAGTATTCAATCACCCTTCCAAATGGGTGAAAGAAAGAATGGGTCACTCTCAAGGAGCTCAGTGAATCCCAGCGTGGTACCGTGATAGGATGCCACCTGTGCAGCAAGTGCAGTCATGAAATTTCCTCACTACTAAATATTCAGCCACGAATTGGTAGGCCACGTTAAATGACAGAGCGGGGTCGGCAGATGCTGAGGCGCATAGTGCACTGAGGTCGCCAACTTTCTGCAGAGTCAGTCGCTACAGACCTCCAAGCTTCGTTTGGCTTTCAGTTTAACTCAAGAACAGTGCATAGACAGTGGAATGGGTTTCCATGGCGGAGCAGCTGCATCCAAGCTTTACATCGCCAAGCGCAATGCAAAGCTTCGAATGCAGTGGTGTAAAGCACGCAGCCACTGGACTCTACAACAGTGTTCTCTGGAGTGACGAATCACGCTTCTCCGTCTGGCAATCCGATGAACGAGTCTGGCTTTGGCAGTTGCCAGGAGAACGGTATTTGTCTGACTGCATTGTGCCAAGTGTAAAGTTTAGTGGAGGGGGGATTATGGTGTGGGGTTGTTTTTCAGGAGTTAGGCTCAGCCCCTTAGTTCCAGTGAAAGGAACTCTTAATGCTTCAGCATAACAAGAGATTTTGGGCAATTTCATGCTCCCAACTTTGTGGGAACAGTTTGGGATGGCCCCTTCCTGTTCCAACATGACTGCGCACCAGTGCACAAAGCAAGGTCCATAAAGACATGGACGACTGAGTTTGATGTGGAAGAACTTGACTGGCCTGCAGCCTTTATTGAAACATGAGTCCTGACCTCAACCCAATAGAACACCTTTGGGATGAATTAGAGCGGAGACTGTGAGCCAGGGCTTCTCGTCCAACATCACTGTCTGACCTCACAAATGCGCTTCTGGAAGAATGCTCAAAAATTCCCATAAACACACTCCTAAACCTTGTGGAAAGCCTTCCCAGAAGAGTTGAAGCTGTTATAGCTGCAGACAGTGGGCCGACATCATATTAAAACCTATGGATTAAGAATGGGATGTCACTCAAGTTCATATTTGTGTGAAGGCAGACGAGCGAATACTTTTGGCAATATAGTGTAGTATACTCAATAGGTCAGAATAGTACCCGCCGATGCATAACCGAGCTGATGGCTTGAAACCTTAATCGTGCTAATGAAATTTGGACCAAATTTAAACACATCCAGTACTCTCCAAAGGTACTGCCACTCAAGCCTATTGCAGTGAGATGAAAACTTTTGTGCTTCTCCTGTTACGTGCAGAAGTCTCCTTATATTGTCTGAAGCTAAACGGCCTTTTATGAACCCGGTTTGGTCTGGGTGGATCAGTTGACCTATCACTTTCTCCAACCTAAGAGCTAGAACTTTCGAAAGTAATTTAACATCTGCATTTATCAGTGAAATAAGATGATAATTGGCACAATTTAATGGATCCTTATCAGGTTTGGTATGATGGTAATAAGCGCAGTGTAGAGGTCTCTATGGAGGCTTCCATTTTCAATGGCAAAATTTATAGTTTTGAGCCATATTGGTCCTAAAATATCCCACAGAGCTAGGTACACTTCTGCAGCCCAAAACTTTTTTTCTTTTAAAATTTAAAGGTGCATTTCTTAAATGTAAAAGTTCAGTCATCTCTTAGTTATTTTATTGAACTTGAACAATTTGTTTTATTGTATTAAGCCATTTGCTTCTGTTTAGTTATGTGACATAATTCACATAGTTGATGGATGACTGCTAAATGCCACTGAACTGCTTTTTGTTTATCCCAGGCTGTTAATGAATCCTGTTACCAAGGAGATGATGCTGTGTTGAAGTCTCTTGTAGAAATCGCTGACACTGCACCTAAATACTTGAGGCCAAATCTGGAGGCCACCCTACAACTCTGTCTGAAGGTATGTATACACATTGGTCCTTTTGAGTTAGGTTTGTTTGCGCTCCCCACCAAAAAAAAACCCCATAATAGATTATGTAATTACGTACATTTTTTTTGGTTATGCTGAACCATTTGAATGCTGTAGTATTCATTACTTATGTTAGGGTCTGTTTCATTATTTAGTAAGGTGTTTAAGATGTTTATATAAGACATATTAAATATGAAAAATGTTAAAGTGAATTATAGTTGAATTATATACAGGTGGAAATTTTATATGAAAATACATAAATTTGGGCTAGACATCCATGTCTTCTCGCTTTAGAGTGCAAAAGACTTTGCAATAAAAGGTTGGTATACCGTTAAGACAAGTTTGATCAGTAGTCTTAAATATTTAAGTAAGGTGGTAGTTACCCACGTATTGCTTGGAAGGCTACATGACTTGTACCATTTCAGTTCATTTGCACAACCTCAAGAATACATTTTAAATACAACAGAAATGAAGAAATGCTACAGAGGTCACAAAAATGAAACAAAAAGACAGGTGCTCCTGGGGCATGGGTGCAGAAAACTCAAAAAAGAAATGCTTCCATGCTGGGGGAAGCGAAAAACCAAAAAAGTAGCCATCCGCATCCACAAGGCATGTGCAAAATAAATCCCAATGCAAAGAAATCCCGGGCACACCGTCCTTAGAAAAAGTATGAAAAGCCTTTATTGAAACATGGCAATAAGTATAAAATGTGCAGACGCGTTGCGGCCTTCTCGGGCCTTTATCAGGACACAGAACAATGACATGTTAATAGAAAACACCTGAGAGCACCCACGTGTATATACACACACAAGCTTCAACCACCTGTTGGTCAAAATTCAAAGAAAAGGAGAGAAATCAACATCCTCATTCAAACCAGGATACTCTGTAGCTTTAAGAGTGTAAATCCAAAATGTCTCCTCCTAAAGTAATTGCCTTAATCTGTTACCTCCTCTAATGGACTTTGGAACAACCTCAATGGCCATTGCTCGCAACGAGCTAGGGCTCGGATGTTTAGCTGCCTTATAATGCATGGCCATAGGATAGTTAGGGTTCTGGGTAACAATAGCATTTTTATGTTTGGATAATCTATCTCTAAACCTCCTTTTCGTACGACCAATATAAAAACAACCACATTCACATTCGAGTCTGTGTACTACAAAAGTAGTATTACAATTAGCCAATGAATTAAGTTTGAATGATTTCCCAGAAGACAAATCCACAAACAGATAATCTCATCATATTGGAGCAATGATTGCACCCACCGCATCTAAAATTGCTTTTGGGTCTATGCAGCCATGTGTCCTTTGTATTTCCAAGCCGGCTGTGCACCAACTTGTCTTTAAGGATGGGGGCCCTTCTAAAAATTTCTATCGATATTTCTATTTCTGTCCAGATGAAGGCCTGAGAAGGCCTCAACGCGTTGGCACATTTTTATACTTATGGCCATGTTTTAATAAAGGCTTTTTATACTTTTTCTAAGGACGGTGTGCCTGGGATTTCTTTGCTTTGGGATTTATTTGCACATGCCTTGTGGATACGGATGAATACTTTTTTTTGTTTGTTTTTTTTTTTGCCTGCCCAGCATGGAATTTCTTTTTTACATTTTACTTTTTTTACCACTGTTGGAGAAAGCAAACAGGAAATGAACCCTTCCAAGGCTGTTTGGACATTGAAAGTGATGAATCCATTGAACTACAGGGTGTCCCAAAAAATTGACATCATTTGAGATGTGAATATGTGAGTAACTACATGTCCTAGGCAAACGAAATTTAAATAGGCTTCATGTTGAACAATGATTTATCAAAATTCGAACAAGAAATTCAGAGGGATGTAGATTTTATAACCGATTTCACAAATCTTCACAAATGTAATATCTTCCAGATCCCTTTGCCCTGCACAGACAGTCTTCCTCTTTGAATTTTTTGTGCCATGTCCAAATCTGCTTTCCAGTTGGTGCATTTTTCTCGAAAATGCATGCTGCACACTCGTTTGACTGTGTTCGAGCATATTCTAACACACAAAATGCCTTTTCATTTCTAGTGAACGCCATTCTTCAACCTGAAAAAAAAAAACATTAAAAATTAAACTTGGTTAGTTTTTACACATTTTGTTAAAATTTGAGATCATTTGAGGGAGAATTGGCTATGTTATTAGACTACGAAATTGTCAATTTTTTGGGGGGCACCCTGTATATCTAGGTTTTGTGTCTGGTGGTTCCTTGAGACAGCTCATTCATGCTCATCATTAAAGGTATTTCACAGGCAAATATTGATGTCTGCATTTTGATGCTTGGGACCTGCTTACTTCTGGCTGCTTTCAAAGCCTGATTGCAGAATCATTCGTCATCCTTTTAAGAGGGTTCTTTCTGGATTTACAGTTCTGCTAGGAGCTTGGAATGTTACCAAGACCCTTTAATAGGTTTGACTGAAATCCTTCCATATCATAGTGCATTATTGAGAATTGCTGGAGTGTACGAAATATCAGTGGACAATTCAGCATGTAGTTCACTACGTAATGAACCTCTGTACATGATTTTATGACAGCCTTGTTTTTGTTCACTTATTGCATTTTTTTTGTTTGTGCATGTGTCAACTGGAAAGATTTTATTTGGCAGTCAAAGTAGTAAAGTAGTTGCTCACCTAATTTAACTGACACTTCAGACTTGTCATATTTTGTCATTTATTACTTTTTTTTGTATTCAAATACTCTATTAATTTTGGCTAGCATGAATGGTTCCAATTCCCATCACGTCTACTGTGTTGTCTGACTCTAAACGGTTCTCATAGTCCATGAAGTTGCACTTGCAGATCTTAGTTGGTTATGCCATGCCATATATATAAAAAAAAAAAAACTTGGCTGTGCGAATGGGTAGTTCCTCTTTTAATCTTTTGTGTTATGGTTTAGACAGGAATTGTAACTTCTGAGTGATTTCAGAAAGCAAATATCTGACTTGTGTGCTTTCAGCTGTGTGCGGATACCAATTTGACAAATATGCAGAGGCAGCTGGCTCTGGAAGTTATTGTCACACTGTCTGAGACTGCTGCTGCCATGCTGAGGAAACACACTGCCATTGTGGCTCAAAGTGGTAAGGGCATTGACTATTTCCATATGCCCAATGATTTTATGATGCACTAAAATTTTGCTCTGTGCGAAATATAGTGAAGTGAGGCTGGTTTATCTCTCACAGATGTCTCACTGGGGACATCTGAGATGGGTCAGGATCGTTCAGGAGCCGTTTACATATTGTTTCCAGTATAGCTGTTGTGTAATGTATATAGATAAGTATTATTAGGCAGTTTGTAAAACATGGAATAAAAATAATTGTAGTTGTATTTTATTATTATTATTATTATTACCTCTTGTCACCGTGGTGGTACCCTCAAGGTACCATAATCCAGTGAAATGAGATTTTTGTGTTGACTCCACACACCCTGTCTCATCTCTAGGCTTGTTATTTTATTGTTCTGTTTTAAAACATGAGGGTATGAAAATGTACAAATACATACTTTTCACCTGGAAAAAAGCTTAAGGTACACAATTGGACCTTAAAACCACTGTTGTGCCTTTGAGGGTACATTTACATTTTGTACCTTGATGAACGAAACATGTACCTGTACGGTACCTTTAATTTTAAGAGTGTAGGTTCTGTGCTGTTCCCTTTGGCCTTTTCAGTTGAAAATGGTGGCAGCGCTACCTCAGCACCATCTAGCGACGGTTGTCAAAAAAGCAAGAGTTTCATCTCCTGGGCTTATATACTCTTTGCCTGTTCTCCTCTGTAGTGCTACTTAATCCAAGTGAGCATTAAATAATATAGCATAGCTAGATAATGCACGTCATTTAAAAACAGCTAGATTTCTATGATTTAACTGTTAAGATGCATTGTACAGACATGTCAATAGATGATTGATATTGTTCATAAGTTCCACATGGAAGTTTTTACTCGTAATAAACAGTAAACTGGTGCTAGTGATGGGACGGTGACTCCAAAATGGTCAATTCAAGTCTGACACGTTTTGCAAGCGTGTCTGAGCACTACCCTGATAGCATGATAGAGCCCTGGTATCTATGGCATACCAGTGCTGCTCACCAGCTGCTGTCAACTCAAGCTCTCATTATAAAGTGCAACAAGGATTAGAAATTAAACCAAACCACTATTCATCATAGAGTAATGTAAGAAACTTGGAAACAGAAAAATTCTTAACCTTTTCTTAAACATGGTTAAGTGGTAAATATGGTTGATTTTCCTGAAATTGTGACGACAGTGATTTTCTCTGTATGTTGCAGCTGAATTTTGTCTAGTACAGGGGTTCTCAACCTTTTCCACCCCAAGGCCCACCTGTGTACAACTACAAAGCATAGCAGCCCACAGGAAAGCTAAAATCAGCTTATTTAAATACAACTTTTTCTTTTCTTAAATACTGACACTAAAAACCTGAGACTTAAGGCCACATCAGATCAGATCTTTACTAATCACTAAGCAGATCTTAATGAGAACTTGCTTACCTATGTGGACTGTGTTTATAAAGTTGCTTTTGGGCGAGATAGCGCTCAGACATTTACATTCAAAATGAAGTCTCCTTTAGAAATTTTGCTTTGTAGGCTTTTGTTTTTCTTTTTGTAAAATCACCCCCCTTTTCTATACTTCTATACTTGGCACATTTCCTTCCTCTTTCCTTTCCAGTTCCTCAGATGTTGTCCATGATGGTGGACTTGGAAGAAGATGAGGACTGGGCAATGGCAGATGAACTGGAGGATGATGATTTTGACAGGTGAATTCATTCTGTTCTGGTTACATAGTCTTTACATCTGTCATGCATTTATATTAAAAAAAAAAGTGATTTACGCCCAAAGTTTTGGTACAAAATTAACTAACAGTTGAGAGGGCTGTGCCAATGTTGGTAAACTTGGTTATCAAGCCTGTAGTCAAAAACTAATCTCTATAAATCTTGCCCTACATCCTGCAATTTAACTTTTGTGTGCACACTAATAATTCAGTTTACTAACTCTCCCACTTTTCAGATGTAGCTGATGAGGTTAAACCTGCCAAAAGTCAAATTCCCGTTGTCTTAAAATGGCAGAAAACGTTTGTTAAAGTTTCATCAGGCTTTGTATTTCCAGTTCTCTTTGTTTGCAAGAATCACTGAATATTCTCTTCCCAGTAATGCAGTGGCAGGTGAGAGTGCTTTGGACAGAATTGCCTGTGGCCTTGGAGGAAAAATTGTGCTCCCCATGATTAAACAGCACATCATGCAAATGCTACAAAATTGTGAGTGTATATATTACACACCTGAGAATTTGCACAGTGACTTTTCTTATATTAAATATTAGGGCTGCAACTAACAATGATTTCCATAATCAATTACTTTGTTAGTTATGGCTTTGATTAATTGTTTAATAGGTGAGAAACAAGGTATGGACAGTCTGTCAGTAACTAAACTTTTCACAACACACAGTGCTCTTTCAAACTAAACTTTCTATCTTATCCAAATCTACATCCGCAATGCCACAAGATGCCTTCTGCATTACCCTCAAAAATGCTATTTTACTCCATGTGAAAGTTGCAGAAACTAAATAACAATGCATGAACAAATCTTACACAGAAGCCCAAGTATTATTGTGGAGGTTGTTTGATTCCACAAGTACTTCGCATTGGTATTTAAATGATTTTTCCTGTAATTATAAAGCAAAGATAAATTAAGTTCTAGGTAATCATGTAATTAAACCTCATATTACTGATTACACCGAAGCAGCCTGTTATCAGCCATATCAGACATGCAGGGCCAGGAAGCATGTCACCATTCGTTGAACAGTAACAACCATGTCAGCATTTTAAAAAACATCTTTCCACATGACATCTTTGTAGATTTTGCCAATGATTTTTGTGTGTGTGTGTTTTTATTTATTTATATATAAAACACATTTAAAACTGTACTTAATTCATTCTTCTAATTCCACAGCTGATTGGAGGTATAGACATGCTGGTCTAATGGCATTGTCTGCCATTGGTGAGGGCTGCCATCAGCAGATGGAGACCATTTTGAATGAAATTGTCAGTTTTGTTCTACTTTTCTGCCAGGATCCTGTGAGTATTATTCATTGGCTACACTGAGCAGGTCAATTGTTGTATGGTTTTAGATGCTACTGACATGAAGTAATCATTTATGTTTGCTGTTTCTCTCTTGTTTTAGCATCCCAGAGTCCGATATGCTGCCTGCAATGCTATTGGTCAGATGGCCACAGATTTTGCTCCTACCTTTCAGAAAAAATTCCATGACAAGGTATAGATTTGCTTCATTTCACAGAAAATGACAGAACTTCACACTTTAGTCCTCATCTTTATTGACTAGGGAAACTGACTATAGACAACTTCAACCTGACTATAGAGACAGAGACCGTAGCTGGCACAGCTTTATCATTTAACTAAACAAGTAGACATAACATGGTTTGTGTGTGTGTGGTGTTTTTCTTTCTTTCTGAAAGATTGTGGAAAGCATTGTCAAATGTGCATTTAAATAATTTCTGTTCTGAACATGATTTTGTGTCTGCTTCCTATGCTTCTATAGGTTATTTCTGCCCTGCTACAGACCATGGAGGATCAGTCTAACCCACGTGTTCAGGCCCATGCTGCTGCAGCTCTAATTAACTTCACAGAGGACTGCCCCAAAGCTCTCCTCATTCCATACCTGGACAATCTGGTTCAGCACCTCCATGTTATTATGGTTGCCAAACTCCAGGAGGTCCGTTATGGGTTCTTAGCAATTTTTGTGTGAAGTTTATAAGAATGTGCTTACACCTGGCTTTACATGGCTACATAGAGCCTTGCAAAAAAACTGAAATATGATGCTTGAGTTTACTAAATTAATGTTTTTTTTTTTTAAAACAAATACTCCTAACTTGTTCAAAAGCCTCAGAAAACCACATCTTATGTTGGGTGTCTGCTGTTGACTGTGTCTTTTGGATGGCGTAGCTTGTTTAAGCTGTGCAGATCTTGACACACTATAATATACCTGAAACATAGTGGTATACCTTGTGCAAAGGCACTTGCAAACAAATATGCCAGTAATTTGTTTCAGTATTTATGTATTTGGTCAAATTGGATCTATGCTCACATGAAGGTTGTGTAGTGGCATTAAGGTCAGATTCTGTTATGCAAATGCTCAGACTACTGTGGCTTATGAGACCCTTCCAGTGATCTATGCAGTTCTAAAATGAGGCATAGTCATTGTGTGTGTGTGTGTGTGTGTGTGTGTGTGTGTGTGTGTGTCTTTTTAAATATAATTTAATTTAAAACATAGAATGTCCTCACTTCTGCTATGTTTCCTCAGCTGATTCAGAAGGGCACCAAGCTGGTGCTGGAGCAGGTGGTGACCTCTATTGCGTCTGTGGCCGACACAGCGGAGGAGAAATTTGTTCCTTACTATGACCTTTTCATGCCCTCCCTTAAACACATTGTAGAGAATGCTGTACAGAAGGAGCTTCGTCTGCTCAGAGGGAAGACCATTGAGTGCATCAGCCTGATTGGGCTGGCTGTGGGCAAAGAGAAGGTACATGTGGTGTTGTTGTTGTCGTCGTTGTTGTTGTTGTCCTTGTCCTTGTCCTTGTCCTTGTCCTTGTCCTTGTCCTGTAGTTTTGAATTTTCATCCCAATCTCAAATGCTGATTGACAAAATCTGTCTCTAATTTATATGGAGCATTATTTTTCCAGAATTACTGTGTGTTTAGGTACGCTTGCTATAAATTAACAAAAGTGATGCAGGAATGTTTTTGAATGTGTAACATGCAGAGTTATGGTTTTAAATTCACTTTACCAAGTGAAGGGCATGATAATTAGTAGACGTGAATTATGTGCATTAAAGTAAAGTGAGAAACCGCAAACAGCAGTGAAAATGGTACTTAGTGGTTGTTTCTCCTTCCTTTTTCTCCTACTGTAGTTCATGCCTGACGCCTCAGCAGTAATGCAGTTGCTTCTAAAAACACAGACTGACTTTAATGACCTGGAAGATGATGACCCACAGGTGAGTGATGGTTTAGAATTTCACATACCCAGTAGCTGGGTTTGATTCTTTTCAAATATACAGATGATTGACAGAAAATCAACATGGTGTTGGGCCATCATGAGCAATTAGAACAGCTTCAGTGAGCCTTGACATAGATTTTGCAAGTCACTTGAGTTGTAATAAACTTTTTTTTTTTTATTTTTTTTTTTTTTACCCAAAAATATTCTTTTAGGGGCTCCCGAGTGGCGCAACCGTCTAAGCTTTGGCCCTATCATCAGGAGATCGCGAGTTTGATCCCTGGTGATGCTACAGCCATCCATGGCCGGGAGTCCTAGAGAGCACAATTGGCCTCGCTCTCTGGGTGGGTAGGATGGGCCCCCCCCTTCTCCCCCCATCACTCAACGCGATGCTAGTCAGCGCAGGCGTCTATTAGCTGACGTAACAGAACTGGCAGTTGGTGCTTTCTTCCAAGCGCGTTCAGCTGTCCAATGACATTGCGTGAGCGGCAGTTCAAAAATTCATCAAATTCACAAGTTCAAAAGCATTCGCCCTCCTAGTGTTGATAGTACCATGTGACTGGGGGAGTCCTAAGTAGAGGGTGGAATTGGAGACGGCAAAATTGGGAAGAAAATTGGGTTAAAAATATATATATGTGTGTGTGTGTGTGTGTGTGTGTGTGTGTATATATGTGTATGTATATATGTGTGTGTGTGTGTGTGTGTATGTATGTATGTGTATATATATATATATATATATATATATATATATATATATATATATATATATATATATATATATATATATATAATTTTAAGTTGGTTTATTGATGATGCTTGCTGGTCCAAAGCTTCTGTTATAGCATATGATTTACATCATTTTCATACCTGAATCCATTCAGTAACTCCTCATGCCTTTTGGATGGGGTCCTGTAAGAGACCACTCCCATCAGGATTGAAATGTTTATTCATAGGGTAAAGCTGGTCAGAATAGCACTCTGTTGATTTGCAGTGACCTTTCCCTCAGTTCCCTACCATTTATTTATTGAGGTTTTTTTCTTCAAATTCTCAGCCGTTTTATGTATTTGATTGCTTATGGGGGAAAAAGTATTTCTACCTCTGTGTTGAGACAAAGATCATCTACATGACTAAGTGACAGCAAGGCAACTATATTTTCCAGCCGTGGTCCTGGAGAAGCTCTGGACTGCTCTGTTCGTTTTAGTGTTTCCCCTGATTCTTACACACCTAATCCAGGGTATCATATTACCAAGCCGTACTTAAACTGAAATTGTTGTGTTGGTGCAGGAAAATGATGAAATGTGTAGGACAGGGTCGGGAACCTGTGATCTGATAGTTTAAATGATCTCTGTTCTATGAAGCTTTTGGGATGCTAAACCTGCTCATTTAGAATTCTTTATCTGCGTTGGTTAAAAATAAATTTAGACCATTGTTAATGTGGGGGGTGTTGGGGTGTGTGTGGGGTTTTATTTATTTATTTTTGTGCTTTATATATGAGGTCTCGTTTTGATTTTATTATGATCAAAATTGCACCTACATACCTGGCAACTGATTAAGACCAGTTACGAAAATTTGTGTCTGTCTTTCTTTAGATCTCTTACATGATCTCAGCCTGGGCCAGGATGTGTAAGATCTTGGGGAAAGAGTTCCAGCAGTACCTGCCTGTGGTTATGGGCCCACTTATGAAAACGGCGTCAATCAAGCCTGAAGTAGCCCTTTTGGACAGTAAGGCACAATCTTCACTATGCTTAATGACTTGCTGTCTGTGGGTACTGCTCTTAGTTAGATTTACATATTTCAGAAATTTGTATTTTAGATTTATCTTAATGGATGTTTCTTCTTTTAGCTCAGGACATGGAAAATATGTCTGAAGATGATGGTTGGGAGTTTGTGAATCTGGGAGACCAACAGAGCTTTGGAATAAAGACTGCTGGATTAGAAGAAAAGGCTACAGCTTGTCAGATGCTGGTGTGTGTGTGTGTGTGTGTGTGTTAATCAGACAGATTTTTTTAATTTTGTAGTGTGGTGTTTTTTATTATTATTGTTGTTGTTTCCCCCCCCTCTCTCTCAGCATACTTGTCACAAAGTCTACAACTTGCTTTTCAAAATTTACAAGGCTTTAGCAAGCAGACCTTTTCTCTCCTTCCAACCCTGCCCTCAAACACGTTCCTTTTTTGTTTCCTAGGTCTGTTACGCTAAGGAGCTGAAGGAAGGTTTTGTGGAGTATACAGAGCAGGTCGTTAAGCTGATGGTCCCTTTGCTGAAATTTTACTTCCATGATGATATCCTTTACATGCCTTTACAAGTTATTGATCATGTAAAAGATTTAAAGAAACTGAGATATAACTTGTAGAATTACAGTGCTGTTTGATTCCAATCAGAATTTACCTCACAACATTGCAGATGACAGAGGCCACTGTCAAGCTTAGATGGTTGAATAAACTTGATCAATTCATTATTAATAAAAAAGTTATCTTGATTCATTGTTATGACTTTGGTTTTCTGCATGAATGGCTCTTAAATGTGACCTGATCTTCACCAAACATTTCCAAAGGAGTCACAAACTTTTTGTCTTGCAGCTGTTTCACTTGTATGTTCCTTTACTTAGTCCTCATGTGTGCGAGTTGCTGCTGCTGAGTCCATGCCTCTATTGTTGGAATGTGCTCGTGTGAGAGGCCCAGAGTACCTCACTCAGATGTGGCATTTCATGTGTGATGCTCTTATTAAGGCTATTGGCACTGAACCTGACTCAGACGTGTTGTCAGAAATCATGCACTCCTTTGCTAAGGTACTATTCATGCTTTATATGCACTTTTTTCTTTTAAAATAATATTTCCTGCATGTTTTAAATTCTTTGTTGTTTTTTTTTTGTTTTGTTTTTTTTGCCTTTGTGATGCCAAGAAAGGATAGTCTTTGTTGTAAGCAGGATTGCAAGATTGGATTGGTCATGAAAACTGACTTAAATATTATTTCTCATTTCTTCCCTTTTTCATTCTCATTCACAGTGCATCGAGTTAATGGGAGATGGCTGTCTAAACAATGAGCACTTTGAGGAGTTGGGAGGCATTCTGAAAGGAAAGCTGGAGGAGCACTTTAAAAATCAGGAACTCAGGCAAGGTGAGGCTTGTTAGAAATATTCTATAAACCAGTAACATATTCTGTGTGAGGCATAAGTAATGCACTTTCTTGACCATCATGTGCAGCCAAAAGACAGGATGAAGATTATGATGAGCAAGTTGAAGAAACGTTACAAGATGAGGCAAGTTCAGCTGTTTGTCTTTGCACCTTGGAAATAAATGCCATTCAAAACGGGTAATGTCTTGATATAACTGATCACAACTGGTCTTTTCCAGGATGAGAATGATGTGTACATTCTTACCAAGGTGTCAGACATTTTGCATGCAGTATTCAGCAGTTACAAGGAGAAGATTCTTCCCTGGTTTGAGCAGCTTCTTCAACTTATAGTCAATCTTATTGTAAGTATAGTCTTTACTCATGTTATCAAGTTTAATCTCACTCGGCCAACTGCAGCTAATCTCTAGTATATGTGCTTATGTTCATTTAGAGTGTTTGGTCTTGAAGCCAGTAGGCCTACACAATATTGGGTAGTCTCAAAATCCTTAGTTGATATAGCGGTTTGTTTTTGATTATTGTTGTGCACATTGCATAATGAACCTTCTTTTGACATAGTGCTGCAGTCTTTGGTAATATCAGGACCGAAGATGAGTGAGCATAATTCACAATCCTTTTTCCTTGTCATGGAACTAAGTAGGGCAGCTCACAAATGAGATTAAAGATAAAGAATCATTTAAAACAATTCCAGAATGAAACGCATACCCATATGCCTTCACATGCCCAAAAATACCATAAATAAAAGCTCTCACTCTGTATTTTGCCTTAGTATTTTGAATCAATTTTATTTGCCAAGATGTACAAGGAATTTTTCTTGGTGCACGTGTCTGAGCCCAATAGATTTTCTTTCAATAGCTTGAGCATACAGGTACCATTTACCTTGCTGTTACTATCCTTTTTATTTATTTATTTTTTTTTTTTTCCCCCCCCTTCTCCTTTTCCCCTACATACCCGCCCTTCAACCTCCACTGTAGTGCCCACACAGACCCTGGGCAGACAGGCAATGGGGTTTGTGCATTTTTGATGATGTGGTTGAGCACTGCAGTCCCTCTTCATTCAAGTATGCAGAGTACTTCTTGAGACCGATGATTCAGTCTCTCTGTGACACCAGCCCTGAGGTGCGGCAGGCAGCTGCATATGGCATCGGAGTCATGGCCCAGTTTGGAGGAGAGAACTACAGGCCCTTCTGTACAGGCAAGTCTTATTCTTTTCTCAGACCCATTAAAAGCCACTGGTTGAATAGTTATGCATAAGTCAATTAGAAATTGGAATGGCATCAGCCGTAGCATGTTTTGTGTAGCCTGCTGTGTAATGGCAAGAAATTGGCCCAGTTTTAAAACTCCTGTACTAATTTTATTTATTTATTTAATATATTTTTATTTTTTGTATTTCATCCAGAAGCAATTCCCCTCCTGATTAGTGTGATACAAGCTGCAGATTCCAGAGCAAAAGAGAATGTTAATGCAACAGAGAACTGCATCTCTGCTGTTGGCAAGATCATGAGGTATCGACCAGAATGCATTAACGTCAACGAGGTCCTTCCTCATTGGGTCTCATGGTTACCACTCAATGAAGACAAAGAAGAGGCTGTACACACATTTAATTATCTGTGTGACCTTATTGAAAGGTGAGTCCTTCCTTGTGATCCTGTGTTTGGGGTTTTGGTGTGATTTTATTTTATGCTTGTCCAACCCTAATAAATTTGTTGTCATATTGTCTTCTCTCAAAAGCAACAACCCTGTTGTTCTTGGACCTGACAATACAAACCTACCTAAAATTTTCATCATCATTGCTGAGGGGGTTGCTAACGAATCTATCAAAAGCGACGATGATTGCAGCAAGAGACTGGCGAACGTTATCCGCCAAGTACAAGTGAGTGTCCTCAGTCAACCTGCTTGGTTCAAGTGTGTCTGTGTAGAGATGAGATACTGTTGACTGATTCCTTGATGTTAAGGTTTAACTCTGTGTGTCTAACCCTTAGGTCTCTGGAGGACTTTGGACGCAGTGTGTATCAGCCCTTAATGAAATTCACCAAAAGGCCATTCAGGATCTCCTCAATGCAGCATGAGTGAAGCTTTATCCCTTGAAACCTGTCTACTCAGCCATCTTATGAAAGAACTCTTTCATTTGGAAGTCCTCTTTAGAACCCTACCCCATACCACTTTGCGTGAAGAACTGTAGCATGACTTGATTATAGGACTGAGTTCAAACCCTCCCCCCACCCCCCGCCCATGGGCCTATTGTCCAGCTTCCCAAAAAATCTTCTAAGAAGAATCCTTGGGCTCATCTGAGAGAAAGTGGGGAAAGTGAGGTCAGCAGTCGTTGCCATTAGATGTTAAAGTATTTCCAATATAGGAACTATAGTCCTCTGTTTGAGGTAGTTCAGTCATGTTATCACAGCTCAATGTCTGTTAATCTAACACAGAGTTTGATCTCTCTCTGAAACAAGCTTGCTTGTTGCACCTGGGTGACTCAATAGTCAGTGACTAGTGTTGTTGTTTTTGTTTTCTGTTTTTTTTTTTGGTTGTCTTTTTTGTTTTCCAATTTTCTTTAATATGGATTGCAATGGATAGAAGTGAGGGGCGGTATCTGTTTGCTCCACTATGCAGATGTGTCCTAACAGTATGTCCTGTCACTAGTCCACTCACTCCATGGTATAAAAATAAAACATTATAGATAAGGCATGATTGTTAAGTGTTTTTTTTTTTTTCTAATTTAATGTTCAACACCTTAAAAAGTTCAGCCTTCAACGTAAGCATTTCACAGAACCTGATCACTAGAAAAATTAGCCCTTAACCCTATATTTGAATATAACATTGACAACTTTTTTTTCATTTTATCCACCATATCAAATTGATCCAATAATACAGCTTTTTTTTCTAGTTACCTACAATACAATCATCAGATAATTTACAGATGTGACTTTTACACTGTACCAAGTTAATGCAAGAGTCTGTGTGTGCGCGCAAATTGAAAATGGAATAAAAATAAATAAATTTAAAACCGCTATTGGTCATTTCATTTTAGTCATTGTTCTGGTATTTCATGGCCATATCTAAAATGGAAAAGCAAATAGAGAAAAAATCCAAGCTTCACTTTGGCTTTGCCTTTTCTTCATGAAATGCAGAATACGTGTCAAAACTAAAATCATCTTGTTTCAAAACTAAATCTTGTTTCTTTTTCATAGCAATAGGCTGCATATCCGACAAAATGAAAATGCAGTGTGGATAAATCAACAGCAAAGTGACAGTTTGCGATTCAGTTTTCGGCGTGAATGCGCTTTGTGTTGGAATAAAAAGGCAAACAGAAACGAACACGGGCACCACCTGCTGGCGATTTACTTTTCATTTCCCACTTTGCTCTTTCATTTCCCACTTTGCTCTTTCATTTACAGGTTAATCAACATGCAAATATGTTAGTGAACTCTGGCCGAGGCTACGGGGTACATTTCAGGACATCCTCAGACCTCAGAGTCAAAACAGCATCATTCCTCGGACTAAACTGAACATCAGACCAAATGGCCTCAGAAAAAAGGTATCAAACTAAACGCAAGCCTGGTCGAGCATATACTGATTCGCTTAAACTATTGTGTATTTTGACAAATGCCAGTGCAATATTATAATAGTATAAGTGTAGCCCCGCCTTGTGTTAATTAACATACATTTGCATGTTGGTTAACTTTGAAAACGAAAAAACAGCAAGGGAAATGAAAAGTTAATCACCAGCAGGTGGCGCCTGTGTTCGTTTCCATTTGCCTTTTTAATTCTGACACTTAATCCATTTCGTCCATGACGAAAACTGAAACTGTCACTTTGCTGTTGTTTTAGCCAGTTTGCATTTTCATTTTGTCAGATATGCAGATTGCTATGAGAAAGAAATAACAACGTAAACATTACATTTTGATTTTAGTTTTGACACATATTCTGCATTTCATGAAGAAAAGGCAGAGCCAAACTGAAGCTTGGATTTTCTTTTCTCTATTAGCTTTCCCATTTTAGATATGGCCATGAAATACAGAATAATGATAAGGAAATGACAATTAGTGGTTTTACATTTATTTTTGTCACAAATGACTCGTGCTCATGTGAAAAATTAAATAGCAAATGTAGGTATTTCATTTTCAATTTTGGCAGGATTTTTGTGCTGATGTTTGGAAAAAGAAATGGCAAAAAGAGGTTTGCATTTACATTTTGTTTTAATTTTAATTTCTTTTTTTGGCTGGATTTGCCTCCCATAGTTTTTGTGGATTCATTTCTATATAGAGAGTGTATGGTAAATAACATTGTACATTTTTAACTGCTAATAATACACACACACACACACATCATGTAAACCGCTTATCCTTCTGGGTCGCGGTGGGAGATGGAGCCTATCCCAGCCGTCATTGGGCGGATGGCAGGATACACCCTGGACAGGTCGCCAGTCCATCGCAGGGTATGATATAATACACCAAATTCTTATTTAAAAAATGAGACAAATGGAAAAACAAATACCTCTTAACACTGTCTTGGTAAGGTACTGGGCCACCATGATCTGTCCAAACAGCCTCACATTAACTTGGCAAAGATTATACAAGTCTTCATACTGGAGTAATGGAACACCAATACAATTGTAGAAATATTTTTGGAAGCAGGCCCAGAATCATGCTGGTGCAAGCCGTGATGAGTCTATGGCCTTTGAAGACATCGGTTTCATACTCCATGAAACAATTGAGGGATCCCTTGTGCCCCGTGGATGAGGGTATTGCAATCTTGGAGGAGGCCACTTATTATTTATTGCACTATTTTGATTAACTCTAGAGACTCTTGTGCATAAAAAATCCCAGAAGATCAGCAGTTTTAGAAATGCTCAAACCAGCCCGTCTGGCACCAACAATCATGCCACGGTGAAAATCCAAAATCGCATTTTTTCCCCAGATTCTGATGGTTGATGTGAACATTACCTGAAACTACCTGCTTCATTACAAATATATTTTAGCTTGGCATCTTTTTATTCAAGAAAAATTTGACTTTTCCTTTGATGTAATGGTGTATAATATATAATAATGATATGCTATTTTATGTTTTGTCGTTCATCTTATGGCACACAATGAATGACAGGCTATTGACATCAATGTTCTATTTTTTGCTATTTATTTTCTCATTTTTAAGCTCAACACTTTGGAACAATTTTACTGGCATATTAACCATTGCCAATGTGCCAATACATCCATTTCTCTCTCACTCTCTCACACACACACACACACAAAACAAAACACTGAAATTACAAAAATGGCAGAAATCCAAGAAAATATCCAGTTCTGTTCTCAGGAAAGTTGTCAAAAAGGACTACATTTTCAGGCCAATTTTATACAGAATGAGCACCAGCATCATCAAGCACAAATGAAGTTAAAATTTCTAGTCTTATGTTACCTAGTTTTGGCAGTTAGTAAAAGTCATGATGTAGTATGAACATTTTCAGAATCAGATCAGGTAACAACTGTACATTGCACGTACATCTTCACCATAGCTGTTGCGCTTCAAAAGTGCAATATTAGTACTATTATCAACCTGATATATAAGTGTATCCTCTCTTCTATCTTTTGCTTTTCTAAAACTTTTGAAATGCCCTGTGCAAACAGCTTCACGCATGCCCCATTTCCTGACCAATGACATGCCCTTTAATATTAAATGCACATCCTTAATAGCAGTCTACCACATTTTCTTCACTCTGCTGTGCTACAAACAGAATGTCTTCCATTACAGATTGAGGTGAATTGATCACATGATCACTACTAAGTGATAAAATATACTGCATGTCTTCAAGATCTAATAATTCTAATAACTCAAAAAGACCCACCTTTTTTGGCAAGTCAGGATCTGCATCTTGATCTCCATTTTTCACACAATTAGACTCATCTGCCTGTTGTTTCTTATAGCATCTTTGAAGCATTTCCTCACCCCAACTACACCTGCTTATTTCAAGGGTAAGATCACTATGGCCAGCACTGAAGGTCTCCCTCATAAATGTTCTGAGCTTCAGCAAGAGTGCACAGGCTTTCTCAGAGACAGGTCTGTCACATTCAAATAAGCATTTTAACAGCAAATCAAACAGCCCTAAAACCATCAGCTTGTTTAGTGCTTGCTTTATGCATGTCCTTTCAGAAGACTGGAAGGTATGGACGGAATATGGACAGCGATTTAATAAGGAATCCATCAACACATCTGCTATCTCCAGGGTATGAAGTTTCACCTCCCAGTCAAAGTCGTTGCTACCCAGTGACAATACTGAACTCAGAGTGTGGTCTAATGCAGTAAAAACAAGGGTGCTTTTCAGCCATGATGTGAAGACCTTCACTACAGCACGACGGGGGAAGCTGTCAGTGTCTTCAGTGAGAATGGTCATCAGATGTTTAACAGCTTCCTCCTGAAAAAATATGAAAGAAAACAACACACAGATAAAAGCTAGGTATGTTTAGGCTTTCCATTGTAGCAACGTTAAACAATTGCCAGGTAATAATTAGTGATGATCATTTACAGTAATTTTGTGATGAAGTATACTTCAACACTAATTAAACGTAACAATCAGAGAGCACACAACTTGAATTAAACATAAGTAAATAGTGTAATTACTATAATATATATATATATATATATATATATATATATATACACACACACACACAAGATTAATATAATGACAAATAAATAAATAAATACATACATACATACATAAAGTCAACAGGGGCCTAACACAGTACATCCTAAGTCACTAAAGTGTACAGAGAATACTGGATTTAGGAGACCTATCAATGCTCTACCAGGGTTCATTTATACATATAAACCAACAACTTTACTCCGTCGTAAAATTAGCAGAACTTAAATCTTCCATATAACTAAGGAAATATAGCCATATCGATGTAAACTTATCAGCTGACCCCTTAAACGTGTACCTAATCTTCTCCAGCTTTTTGAAATACAACATATCCCTAATCCATTGGCAAAAGATAAAAGACACAATTTGTTGCTATATAAAATAAGATTTTGTGATACCACACCAAATAAAGCAAGGGAGGCTGATGGTTCTAAGGATACATCAGTAACATTAGAAAGCATATCAAATATCGATTGCCAGAAATGACAGTTTTAGGACAATCCCAAAACATGTGAATTAAAGTCACATGATCATGTGACTATACACATGACATGAATACATTGGGTCTGTATTAGATGTAAATTAGGATAGTTGAACTTTGGTCCAGTGCAGTTGGTGAAAAATGCATAACTGTATGCTTTATACATATTAAGGATGAATGAACTCCCCCTATCATCTTTGACCAATTGGATTCTGAAATTTCTACTCCCAGATTCTTCTCCCTCTGATCTTGAAGGACATTCAGACTTGTCATATTTTCTGGCATAAAAGAATATATGTCCCCTATCTTACCCATCTTAGATGAAGTGATGTTATTTATTAAATCTAGGGAGGTGTCTGGTGGCTGTGACGGAAATACTTATGCTTAGATATTCGAAGATACAAAGCTACGAATGTGTGGACAGGCCAAACCTCCTTTGTTGTCGAGGTCTCTGTAATACAGATTTGCATATACGTGGGTTCTTTGTATTCCAAATAAAAGAAGAAAGTTTTTTTTTATCTAGGGACAAGAGGAATGTTTTCACTCAAAAAACGGTAAATACTGAAACATATAGAGAAACTTGGGCCTTACGTTTGTCTTTATAGTGTTAATTCTACCTGCTAAAGTTATGGGTAGCAGATTCCAACAGTCAATATCCTCTTTAAGAGAAAAAAGGAGAGCGGGGAAATACGCTGAAAAATGTTTAAGTTTGTGTGTGACCTAGACTCCAAGGTATTTAATTTACTCGCTGCACACTTTAAATGGCACCTTACAAATACATAGGGATTCTCTTGCAGCCAAATTTATGGGCATCAAATCACTTTTTGTGTATTTATGGTACAGCCAGAGATATTGCCAAATTCAATAAGGAGATTAAGAACTACAGGAAGAGAGGAAGAAGGATCAGACAGATAAAGTAACATATCGTCTGCATATGATGAGACTTTATGTTCCAAATCTGTCCTCATAATGCCCTTAATGTCTTTATTATTGCGTATAGCTATAGCTAATGGTTCAAGGAGGGAAGACTGAAAGGTGACTTCTGCCTTGTCCCTCGTGTTGGTGCAAAAAAGGGTGATATACTGTTAGTACGTACTGCTGCAATTGCCGATCTACATAGGATTTTTATCCATGATTAAAAAGTTCACTCAAATCTAAATAATTTAAGGGTATAAAATAAATAGTCCCTCTCCATCTGATTAAAGGCCTTTTCTGCCAACTTGCAGTTTGTTGGGTACAGAGGAACCATAAATAATGTTATACATGCGCTCTTAATATTGAAGGTGGAATGTCGATTTTTAATGAAGCCTGTCTGGACCAAAGAGATTAGTTGGAAGAACCACTTCAAGGCCAGGTGATTTACCACTTTGCATACGTCTAATGGCTGCCTCAATTACGTTGACTGAAAATGGAGACTCCAGCTCTACTGCTGTAGAATCTATGCGAGGAAACCTCATAAAGCGTGGCCAAGTGATCTCTGCAGATCGTACCCGATTCATCCTGGATCTCAGGAATTGCCTGATTTTCCCACAAAGTTGGTGTGCAAGAATCTTCCCCATTTTATCGCCATGCTCATAGTACCCATAATGAGATCTAATTTAAATATTCTCAGCTTTTTGTGTAGTTGGCAGATCAAATTCTTTTTGAAGGGGTAGGTGCTCCATCATCTGAAGTGGATGTTGCTAGTCGTGAATCAAGGTCCCCAGTCTTATTCATCAATTCATTAATAAGATTATTTCTGCTTCTTCGTAACTGTGCGTTGTAAGAAATAATCTGGCCTCTTAAATAAGCTTTAAGTGCTTCCCATACTATTGATGGTGACATCTTTGGTGTCTGATTTATTTCTAGAATTTCTAGAATTGATTTCTAGAAAGAAATCAATCTGTGATGAGATAAAATCTGAATTTTTTTTTATCTGAAAGTAAGACTGGATTGAGCCGCCAGTTAACAGGTTTTGTGGTTGGTAGATTCTTCGGTTTATGGGGAGCATGATCAGAGATTACAATTGACAGACAGTCACATTCCTGAACCCAATGAAGCAGACGCTTATCCATTAAAATATAATCAATGCGTGAGAATGTTTTGTGAACAGCTAAATAGAAGGGGTACTTACGAGCAGTAAGGTTAAGTCTGTCAAACATCACCGATACTGTAAGTATTGAGAAACAGCTGAATTGAGAGAGCAGCTTTAGAAACTGGCACAGTTTTATCAGCGCTACGGTCCAGTCTAGGGTCCAACACACAGTTCATATCTCCACCTATTATCAAATGGTGTTCATTTAAATCTGATCATCAGGAAATGAAATTAGTAAAGAATGCAGCATCGTCCCATTTGGGGGCATAAACACTGGCTAAAGTAACTAGGGTGTCATATAATTTGCCCGTAACAATGACATATCTGCCTATGGGGTCTGCATCACTTTGGGAAGAAATAAAAAGGTACATATTTACTAATAAGAAGTGCTGCCTCTTTTGATTTGAGTTGAAACTTCATAAACTTAATAAACTTCACCGACCCATCTAGTATGTAAACGTATGTTATCCGCATATTACATCTGAGCATCTGAACATCCAGAAAGCCCCTTCTCTGTCTCCTCTGTTTTGTTACCCAGCGCTGCTACCTCGTTGTTATCTGCGGTCTTAAAGTTAGAAATTTCTGCTCTGGCAGCCTGTATCCCTAGTTTGATGGCAGACATTTCACTTTTAAGTACCGCCCATACTTCATCCTTGAGAATGGTAGCAAAATCAGCTCACAATGATGCCAATGATGACCTGAATCACTGGGGAGACAACACATTAGCTATAGCAGGCCCGGTCGTTGCAATACTAATATTACGACCTTTAGTGCTCCTGCCGGCCATTGTAACGAGTTGGATACAAGAGTATGGGTGTTTTTTGTTCATATAACTCCAAAATAACATTTAAATGACAAAATGTTCTAAACAGCTCAACAAAAGTCCACCTACTCCATCACTTACTCACTAGTGCCCCCTTTACAATATATATTTAAAATGGAGAGATTTAAAATGTCTAAAAGGTATTACAATTAACTGCTTCACCTGCAGGCTAGTAGAGAGTTGCAGGTCAGTTGTAGTTAATGCCTCCCCTAGAGCAGCCACTGCACTTGCTCGGACATAGCCCTCTACATCTGACAATGATGTGAACAGCACTGAGACCATGCCACAATCATGGAGAGCTTCAGCATATTTACTATTGCCTGGGGAGAAGAAAAAAAAATATTACTGTTTATGTTCCCAATAAAGATCCACTTCCTATGATAATGTTACAAGATTACATGGTGCAGGGCTGACAAAGGTGGGGCGAATGATTCTTATCATTGTGGTACCTTTGAGTGTAGCGGTGAGCTGCATAATAAATTCGAGAGTGGAATCTCTCACTTCCCATCGTCCATCACACACATGCTTTTTCAATAAAGGGAAGAGGTCTGAAACACACACACAAACAGATGCTCAATGTCTGTATTAAACCAGTAGGCAAGTAATTAACCCAAATCAGAATCAACCCAAAGAAACATGTTTTTAACAGTATCTGTAAAGTTTACTTAAATATACAGGATAGAAACCAGATTTACATTATTGGAATTGGCAAAAGTAATAAGGAACCTTATTTTCATGGGTGCATAAAAGACAAGACATAAAAAGGTACAATTTCCTGGTACCAGTACAACATATTAGTATTTGTATGACCATTTCTAATGCATTATGAATACATGAATCATAGGAAAACATGCCAGCTGTTTTATGAATGAGGCCTGCCAGTCTCTGACTGATCACATATGCCTTGTGCTGAGAACTTCATGCTCTAAAATGACAAATTTTGCCTCTGTTGAGCTGTATGCCTGACTCTAGTACTTCCTGGAATTGTTTGCCCACCAGTGCATGTCAGAATCAAATGAGAACCAGAAACACTTTGCAGCAGAAGTACAACAGGCATACAAATAATTTGCTTTAGCAACATTGTGCATGGCCAGGGGTGGTGCAACACCTCAAAAAGTGGTGGGGCAAAATTTATTGCCAGGAACAACCAACGCCCGTCACCCTGTTGTGGAGCTATGCGCACGCTAGGGTGTACCATATCATATCGTTTGCGATAATACCGGTAAAATTTTTTAAACGATAAAAAAAATCCATATCGTGATAGCGATATTCTGTCTTATTGACGTAAAGGCGTCATGCGCATGGCGTACGTTCGTTACTTGAGGCATTTTGGAACAGAAAGAAGTATGGAGGAAAGCAGCTCTGTGGTGGAGGAGTTTGTTCCAAAAGGGGGAGCGACTTCAGTAGTGTGGAGCTGGTTTGGTTATAAAATCTCGGATGTACAACAGACCACAGTAATATGCAAGATATGCAAGAAGCCTGTAACAACAAAAGGGGGAAACACAACTAATCTGTTTCACCACCTCAAGCAGAAGCACTCAGTTGAGTATGAGGAAAGTCAAAAATGCCACGAAGAGTGCTCAACAGCCAATGTGAGTTCAAACCCAAGCAGACAGTCTACACTGACTCAGCATAGCATCACTGTATCTCTGGAAAACTGTACTCCGTATGACAAGAAGAGCAAACGTTGGAAAGAAATTACCGACGCCATTGCATTTTGTTTGGCTAAAGATATGATGCCAATTCAAACAGTTGAGAAGGAAGGTTTCACACAGCTTATTAAAAAGCTAGACCGCAGATATAGCGTCCCTAAAAGGCAATATTTTTCAAGGACAGCACTCCCGGACATGTATGAAAAATGCCGTGATAAGGTAGCAGCTTCACTGTCTTGTGCAGAGTTCTACGCCTCGCCTCGACATATGGTCAAGCAGAACTACAGAGCCTTATCTTAGGCTAACAGTGCACTACATTAACAGCGAATGGAAGCTGTGCAGCTCCTGTCTTGAGACGAGCTACTTTCCCGAGGACCACACAGGGCAAAATATAGCAGATAGTTTAAGGGAGTTTCTCCAGTCGTGGTGTCTCAAAGAGGAGAGACAAGTGTGTGTGACAATAGACAGCGGGACAAACGTTAAGGCAATCGAACTGAATAACTGGACCAGACTGTCATGCTTTGGACATCGTCTCCACATTGCTATTGGTAAGTTTCCTTTATTAATTTATATGAAATATTAGCCTTTGACGTTAATATAGCACATGAACAAATACTTTTACAATAACGTTACACAGAGGGCCCATAAAACGTCTGATATCGTCTGAAAATAACGTCTACGTTGTCTTAAGTTTCATTCAGAGCCTGATAGAAAGTTTGATTCATTTTCCTGAACCGACTGCGAATCAATTAACCGATTGTGATTCAACTAATTCGTTTTGCTATAGAGTCTTTGACAGTGTAAAACTGATTCACTGCTACCAAGATATTCAAAGCCAGTGTACACTAGTGGTGAACGGTGGAACTGTAGCATATATTTTAGCCTGGGCAACTGACTGGTTTGTTTTCTGTTTACCCATCAAATCGTACTATAGATATAAGTTTTGTTTTGTTTGGACCTTGAGGAGATTAAAATTCTATAAATTGAGAAATGTTACATAGTTATTGCATTAACAAGTTATTTAATATTTATGCTAAACTAATGTTGATATTAAAAATATATGGTTTCCAAATGCCTTACTTTAACTTTTTTTTTCTTGCTTTGCAGAGAGAAGCGTTAAACACGCCAGGGTTGACAGAGCAGTGGGAGTTTGCAAAAAGATTGTGAGTGCTTTTTCTCACAGTTGGAAGAGATAACGGGCTCTTCAAGATGTTCAGAAAGACATGGGCCTACCCCAACATAAACTTGTAACAGAAACTCCCAAGAGATGGGGTTCTAGGCAAAGGATGATCCAGTGGCTACTGGAACAAGAAAAGGCCATCACTCAGGTCTTGACAGCTGACAGGTCAACAAGGCACCCAGTCCTGACGGGGCAAGATATAGAGGTTCTTGACTCCGTGAACAAGGCCCTTGGTCCTCTTCTAGAATTTACAAACGCATTGTCTGCTGAGGACTATGTCACTGTTTCATGTTTGAAGCCTGTGCTTCAGTTATTTAACAGTGACATTCTACAAGTCAAGGAGAATGACACAGACCTCACCAAGACTATAAAAAACTCAATACTGGAATACTTGAACAGCAAGTATGAAGACCCTGAGGTTGAGGAACTGATAAGTCTGGCAACTATGCTTGACCCACGCTTCCACACTCAGTACATGGGCCCAGAAGAGATCCAGATCATGAAAGCCAGAGCAGTTCAAGAGATGGAATCTTTTCTGTCAGAACAGGGTAGCACCTTTGCCTTTGAAGCACCTTTACAAGGTTCAGGATCAGCAGAAGGCATAGTAAGTGATGCAAAGAGGCCAAAGAAGACTCTTGGAAGCTTTTTCAAGAGGGCAGTACCTGACAAGGGTGGACAGTCTGAAAAAGAGACAATTGAAGCAGAGCTGAACAGCTATTTACAGTGTTCTCCAGCAGACAGTGAGAGTGATCCTCTTGCGTGGTGGAAACTGCACAAGATTAACTTTCCTCGGGTTAGTCGTTTAGCAAAAAAATACCTGTGCATCCCAGCTACCAGTGCAGCCCCTGAAAGGCTTTTTAGCACAGGAGGCAATATTGTGACCTGCCAAAGATCAGCACTGAAGCCTGCTACAGTGAACATGTTTGTGTTCTTGACAAAGAATCTGAGACTGTGATGTTGGTGCATGGAAAGCCACATGGGTTACTAATTTCTGCCTCTAATTGGCAGCATGTTTAGGCAGCATTTCAGAAATGAAGGTGCATGTGTGGCACATTATGCCTTTTTTGAAGGCTGTATTTGTTTTGCATTTACTGTGAAGCTTTACGAGTATTATTATTATTTTTTACGAGTAATTGTTTACATTTGCAGTTTATATGCATGCACAAAAGTTTCTGCACTTTAATTTTGTGGTAGATTTATTTTTACATTTGTTACAATACATTACCTTTGTTACATTATTATATTTTATTTGTAATTTATTATTTTATACAAAATCAGAGTTGGTAAGTTACTGATTACAAAATAGAAAAAAAAAAGTTTACCGTTTTTTTTGTTTCTACTGAATATTTGGAACACATATTTATACTAAATAAAACTAACATTTATTTTGTTGCAATAGTATGTTTTTGAAATTAGTAAAATATTATTCAGTGTTTTGTCATATCGCCAAAAATATCGTTATCGCAGAAATACCCTGAAATATTGTGATATTATTTTAGGGCCATATCGCCCACCCCTAGCACACACCCAGTAGAACAACTGAAAAAGACTACGAACTACAGCACTACGAAACTTTATAATGTCTACGGTTCTGCTCAGATAACAACTTTGCAAGCTAACATCTCATGTTTTAGTTTAACAAGGTAGCAGTATTAAAATATGAAACTGTTTTTGTGCATTGGAGTACACACATTTCTTCTGCATTAGTAAACTACAGCTGCCTCTCACTAAATATGAAACCACAGGGTTTTTGCTGTTTGGGAAATGTCCTACCCACTAGTTGAAATGGCGATTTTGATACTGTTGCAGAGTTTGAGACTCTGACTGTTCATGCTTACAGGTCAGCTGTCCATGACTAGGGACTAGGGAGTGTGGAGATTTTTTTTATGCAAGTGTCCTAAACTCAATCAAAGAAAAAAAAAACCCAATTCCTTGAAAAGTGGTGGGTCGAATGCCTGCTCACTCCTGTGGTTCTGGCAGCCACGTGCATTGCAAGTAAAATGCAAGAACATACAGGATGTGTAGATCTAACATAAAAAGACTTGTAAATAAAACGTATAATCTCGTATGTTATGTCTAATGATATATCAGATTAATACTTCAGTGATTCAGCCAAATTACAAATTACAAGTTAAGAGTAACTGACTGTTTATTACTCCTGTACATGTAATCAAATATTGGAATAAGGCATGGGTTTGGAATAAGAATTGCATTCCAGTTTAAAATAGACTACAACTTGTGATTTAAGTAATTTTAAATGCATTTTTCATTAAGCTTGCAACACAGAACAGCAGAGTGCATAAATGCACGCATGTTTGTAGTCCTAAATTGTGTGTTGAGTTGCCATAGGTGGTAGGACAAAGGTGTGGACAAAGGATGGACACACTAAATACTGAAAAATGTGATATGTTGTGAACTTATGTGTAATTGTTTGTCAAATATGTTTTCTGCTTTGTTGTTCCCTGATGCTGGTAACTTGATGGCAAAATTACAATAATAAAGGGTATACACCAATGAGCCAAAACATTATGATGAGTGCATCCAGCTTTCTATCCTACAGTCTTACAGCTGCTGTGCAACGAAACCCAGGGGGTACTTACCATGATGGACATTCTTCCATAAATCAGTGGAAGGTGAACATAAGCTAAACCATTTAAGAGTGGCTTGATGTGCCTTCTTCAAGACCTAGGAAACACAAAAAACTTGGCAATGACCTGTAAAACAATTAATGTTACATAGAAATAGAACGGAGTTATATTTGGAATTAAATCTTTTCTTCACTGAAGGCAGACTTACTGTGGCATGCACATCAGGACACTGCAGATACAGCAGAAGAACTGCAAGCGCCTCATGAATTGTGTCCACGTTCTCTATAAGATGACAAACATTCAAAATGGCCATTCCAATGTTAACACATAACAAAAACCTTTTTAATCATGTATCATTTTTATTTTATGTGCATGTTAGACAATGCTTTTCACCTCTTTAACGTCTTAAATGTCTCTGAGTCTGAAGATTTTGCTTGGGTAGTATTTATTTTGTCATACCTTCCTGATATTTCACCGGGGTACACGATATATGACAATATTTATGGAAAAAAAATAAATAAATAAAAGCTGAGCTGCTGGCGACGTTTGTTGCCGTCTTTAGCGTTATTTTAAAATTTTAAAAAGTAGTTTGCGTAACATGGTTACCAAGTAAGTGAACACAGTGCATGATTTCAAACCATCGTACAATAAATGGCAAACCATCTTTCGAACAGTTAATGAATGTTAAAGAGGCTTGGACCTGGATTTTTCTGTAAAGCTGCTTTGTGACAACACCTGTTGTAAAAAGGTGCTATATAAAAAAAAACTTTGACTTGACCCCACTGGTGGCATCCCTTCTGAATCAAAATAATGGCCACAACTTGTAGAAATGTGTTCTTGATTCATGCTCATGACTTTATAGGCCCAATCTACAACTACAGTGCAACAGTCCTGAAGCTCATTGCATTGTTCAGTGCTGGCTTGGGCTTATGGGGCATGAGACCAAAATGAACACCTGAGTGACATCTTTTCTTTTGCAAGGTGCTTTAGAAGACATTAGGATTCACTATAGTAACTTACCATTATTACGTAACTAAATAACTACACACCTGGGACCAAGAGAAGGCCTACAGGGCATTAAAATGAGAAACAAAAAATGAAATTCTGTTGCTTAATAAGTAGATGGTATCGGTGTTAAAACCAAGTTCCAAGTAGTGATTAACTGAAAGACAAAATTGGATTGATGCACATTTATTCACGTGGAAATGCTGGCTTAACACATACAGATGTGGTTTTCAGTGTAGGCTATACATATACAACCATGTCAGCCTTATTATTCATTTACTTATTATATTTTTCAGCAGGGTAGGAAACAGTCCAGCAGTAATTAAAAGTTGTTTTTTGGAGAAGCAGTTTGTGATGGCATGCAGTCAGCCACAACTACTGCCACCTACAGTGTTCCACAGCAGTCAATACTTGGACCAAATTTTTTGGATTTATATGCTTCCTCTTGGTTACATTATTCCACAGCAAGCCTTGAGCATATACGCTGATGACACTACAATTTACATTCACACAAAGCTTGATTCAGCAGTGTTTGGGAGATTGCTTAGTTAGCAGACCAAACGTGCGACACCACAGCATGGTTGTAGCTAATTACTTTGAATAGACTTAACTGCTTGTAGGATATTAAATCGTGGATGCATAGTAGTTACGTTAAACTTAACTTTGAAAACTGAATTAATTTTAAATGGCCCAAAGACTGTTGCTGACTAGGCTATGTTGATATCACCCTGTCTGTTGACAATTCTAGGGCAGGTCCATCTGTACTGGTTAAATATCTTCTCTCGCATACAACACCTCTGTTTCATTCACATGTTTGAAATTCTTTGAAAACATTCTTTCATTTAAGGAACTTAGCCCATATTCTGTCATATCTTCGTGTCTCAATTACTGTAGCACTCTTCTTATTGGTCTCGCACTCACACTCTAAATAAACTTTGTTTCTACATTGTAAGTAATTTAATGGATGTGTGTAAAGCTCTTGGAGAAGGCACTATATCAGGGGTTCTCAAACTTTTCCACTCTAAGGCACACCTGTGTATAACTACAAAGTAGATTTGCAAAATTTGCAGGTATGGCAAAAAACATAAAACATACAAAACACATGGTTGCAGTGATGTTGACAAAAGGCGGGGGGTGGTGGCTGGGGAATGTACAAGGTAAATATGGATTGTGATTTGAAGCTGCAGTCCATTAGGTTTTGACTGAAAACACTCCACTGCCTTTCCCAACAGATTAATTCTTTGGTCGTGAAACGTCTCTTCTGTTTTGAGGACTTTTGTGATTCATTTGAAATAGCCAGACCACACTCCTTTCACTGGGCTTTTGGATTAGCACTGTCACAATCAACAATGATAATAAATCTTTATTGATATCTGCTTCTTTGTCATTGTTTTAGCAATTTGAGTTGAACCATTCTGCAGTTTTTTGCCAGACCGGTTCAAACTGTTTGTTGCCGTCCCGAATACAGGTGGAGTGTTCACACATGTCAAAACAGAGCGAACTAAAGAAAAGGTCTGGTAAGTCCACACCAAACAAAGCGCCCTGAGAAACTTCTCCATCTCTGGCTTGCTGTCTGCATCGCATGCCTGCAGCTACGCTGTCTAAAACAGATGACGTTTAATTAGCCCACTACCGCAATGTTTTTATTTGTATGTCTCTATTAATATTTATATCGGTTATAATGTGAAAACATTTAATTCTTAGAATTTTAATTATTAAGTTAATCTTTTTTCCACTTATGTTTTTAGGACTGAAAGTGCAGTTACCAGTCCACTACAAAATACTGCCTCCTTCTCAGTACCAGCCCGGGAGGGTGCTTCACAGCACACTGGTGGTCCAGGGCCCATAGGTTGAGAAACCCTGCACTCTACAATACATATAAAATGTATTATTATCATTAACTTTCTCTTCTGTGAATAGTCTCTCCCCACAAGAGAGGCTGTGTTACTGTTAATGCTGTGCTTAACTCAGTAAAGTTTGCAATGTGGCATCCTAACAATGACTGAAGGTTTAAAATAGTAATTAACACCTAATAGTGGTAAAATAACACCTAATAGTGGTAAAATTTGATTGCTGAATTAAAAAAAAACAGATTAGGAGCACCAGTGGTCTTTGATGAGAAATAACCAATCAATCAATAAAACTGCTCACATTTAGGATGTACAAACTACCATGTAAACATACAGTTTTACACACTACCATGCAATTAATGTCTTGGACCTCCTGAAAGCCTGAAAATTCTGTGGGGGTCCCTGAAAATTATGATGTCCGTGAAAAAAATGCACATTCAAGTAAAGGTAGTTTAGCCTGTTGCACTCAGGTAACGGCAAGTCTTCTGCCTCAGGTCTGCACTGTCGCACACTGGTTTACCCAGTTAGTCCTTCATAGCTTAGCAACTGTAACTATGTATGTATACAATATTTGCAAATCTGTAAACTCTCTCAATTGCCCAAAAGACTGGTGGAAAGATTGCACTGTTACTGATTTCTAAACATGAAGAGAAAAGAGGAGATGTGAAAGATCTCAATTAATGTGTGTAAGACCGCTTTCAAATCAAATATTTTGGTGCCATCAGTGCCACAATTGCAAGTGCGCTGGCTGTCAGCCAGTACTGGAGTAGCCAGCCAACATGGAGTATTTTGCACACTGCCCTTGGTATCCTAGTATTGCCTGATTTCCCTGACATTGCATGCAGCATTGCACACATATTCACAGAATGACATGGATTCAGCCTTGCCACACACCTGCCCTATCTTCAGTTTATGGATGCAACTTTTTCTCAGAGATCCTTAGCATTAGAGGAAGAAGCCCTGCACATAACTCTACACCTGAAAGGCTGCAGTGACAAACATACAAGCTGGTAACCTGGTATTAGATATGGTATCTGTAGAGTTCTGGTATTCTGTAGAGCTCTGTGGTCTATTTCTAGATCAATATGCCACCAACTGCCCAGGAAAGGCAGTCATTCTACACGCTTTCCATTTTATCAGGTCCACTCACTCAAGTAGGGTAAGTACTTAGTAGTTCTACAAATACAGATTGTAGGCCTTCTGTTTCTTTGTATAAATTTTTACCCTGTTGGTGTGTCAAAATACACCTCGTATGAAATGGGATTTAGTCATCCTCTTCTTGCTTGTGTATGACGAAGTGAATGCCGACAACGATTATCTTTACATGCTTAACCATTAATGGTCAGTCCAACTACTGAAATAAAACACCTAAAACATACACCAAAATCTTTTATTTTAAATGTATTAATCTAATGAGCATTTTAAAATTGTATGCCGAAATACAGAAAATCTTCTTGGGTAAAAAAAAAATTAAAAAAAAATTGTCCACAGATGACAAAATTTCTGTCATGTCATAAAGTAAAATAAATTAAATTAATGCTGTTGTGCTATCAGGGAATAGACAAGCTCTCTGGCAGACACCGTCATCTCACTATACAACCTGGTCCTAACTCTGAGTAACATTCAGAAACTGATGTTTACACTGGTACCTCTGCTGCTGTATGTTGAGGACAGCCCACAGCTGAACAACTATATTTCATACTGCTACATACTGCTAGACCCAGCTAATAAGATGTTTTGACCTTAATACAGTATGAATACCTTAAACTACTAAAATATGGTCATATCATTCACAACTGGTAACTCACGTTTATACATTACATTTACTCATTTACTGCAAAAAGCACAGAACTGTGGACTGGCAAATGCTCTCCACTATCCATGGATTTTTGTAGTAAATAAAATATTCTGTGTAATGATAACAACACATATTCTTAGTTTAGGATATTTAACGCACACTGAGGTCAAACAGCTGAAGTCAACCATTCTTACTTGCCAGTGTTCATTTTAAACAATAACATGCAAGACATTTACCTTTACAGGCAGCAAGGCTTCCCAACACATCCAGACTGCACCTCTGTATCTTGCAGCAGCCAATAAGATGAGAATAGATCCCAGCTTTTTGTAAAGTGGTGGGGTGATGACCAAGGCATATCCTCAGAAGTGATATCACAGACAAAGTGATCAGTCGAACAGGAATATCATCCAAGGGTCTCTTGCCGAAAAAAATAAAAAATAAAATTAGACTAGAGTCTAGAGTCCTGTCAATCTCTTTAACAGTATTTTCTACCAATTAAATCCCTGAATGAGCAAAACAAGATCTCTGGGGCCATATTACACAAAATCTTTTCTTTTATCATAAATTAAGATCTGACAAGGTCTGACAAGATCTGACAAGATTTTTCACAAATTCGTCCCACAGAAATAAATATTATTTTATCTTACCTCATCTTCTCAAATTACAAATTCCTAAACTACTTGTCATACTTATGTCATGTCTGTTACCAAGAAGCCAACAACACATGCACAGCTGAAATGTAAACACGTATAAAAAAAAAATAATGTAAAAATGACATGTTCTTATGAACATTAATACATGAGGGTCGTAAGAGGGGACAATGGAGATCATGTCTGCAATGTCGGGGATTTTAAAATGCAGAGTTAGAAAAAGAAATCCACAACTGAAACCAACATTCTCAACATTGATAAATGTAACATCATTATGCTAGTGATAGTGAACTTTTTATGCTGCATGTCACTGCCTAAAATGATAGAAATGCTAGTTACATGTAACTGTGGATATGTGAGTAGTGGATGACCGTCAGGGGTGGTTCTTACCAAGTGGATAGTAGATGTGCTGGCTGTAGACTGAGAAAGTATGCCAAACAGTCATACTCTGACTAAAAAAAAACAAAAAAAAAACTAAAAGGGGCCATCCTACCTGACCCATGATCAATAACATGCAGCTTTGACACAAAGATGCTGTGGAGCCCTTGCATAATTTGCAGGGCCCTACGCAACATGCGTAGTGACCATGTAGGGCTGACCGGCTCTGGCGATGACTATATAACCGCTGCGCAGATGTCTACCAGAGATGCACCTTAGAGGGCAACCCAGGAGGCTGCTATGGCCCTAATGGAGTGTCTAGCAGCCAGTGAGGGCATGGCTGCTGTTTAGAGAGAGCCATACCCAGTCTCAACTCAGAGAAGCATACAAAAAACTGATCCATTTTGGGAAGCCCAGCTGCAGCAGTGACATCCTGCAAAGCCAGAACTGGGCACAGTTGGTTCTGTCCATAATCAGTCTACGTAAGCCGCTAGGCTGATGGACTGATTAATAAAACCTAGAGTAGCAACTTCGGCTAAGAAGGGCAGGTTACGTCTATTACTGTCTTTTGCCATTTATGCTGGCATGTATGTTATAAAATTACAGAACGTCCCCATTCTATCCCTACCTTCTCCCCTTTAAAAGAAAAACAGATGTTGAGCAGCTAATAGGGCTGTGAGATCAGTAGCAACCTGACACCAACCTTGACTTGACTTGACTTGATGTTTAGACCAGACTGAGTATGTTCCAAATGATGTGTCAGAAGCCTTAAGTGGAAAGATATAAATATTGGAAGCTGAGCAAGGCTGTTTGTAAGGATTAAACACTTTAAGGACTGGAAATATTCAGATGTTCAGAAGGCAGGTGACACTGGGAATCCAGCACCAAGGGGAGGTCCTAGGGTGGTATCCTAAGTGGCTGAGGTGGATGCAAAGAAAGGCTGTCACCAGTTTATGGGAGCCCAAAAAGGAGCCCTCAGGTAAGGCCAGGTGGTCTGCCAGGGCGGCCACGTAAACACTAATAGAAAAGGGGGTCCTTCCTTCGTCAAGCAGGGACTGCAAAAGGAAAGGACTACTTTGACTGTGAACAAGAGCGGGTCTATCTGGTTCTTTAAACACCAAACGGTAATGCCTCACATCTACCTTCACATAGAGCGCAAATAGAGGGGGCTCTCACATTCAAAATCGTGTTTCCAACCTCAGGGGAACACACATCCACATCTGGAAGCAGTTTCCAGTGGCTAACCTGAAAGCACCAGGTGCCACCGTAGTGGCTCACGTGATAAACTGCAGATTGATTGTCTGAGCGGACAAGAACGTTTGCCTTGCAGAGCGGGGAGAAATATTCTAGACCTAGCCAGACCTCGAGAGACTTGATATGTTGCCAGGCATCTTGTCTGGACCATCTGTCTTGCACCTAATCTGTGCCAACAGACAGCGCCCCATCTAGTAGTGGAAGCATCTTTTATCACCATCTCCCTGCGTGTAGGAAACTGGCCAATAGCTAGGCCCGAAGAAACTGACAGAACTTAAGGGGCATCAATTTTTATAGTGCCCCTGACCAGGAGGGAACGGACTTCCTGAGACAGTGCACGAACATTAGCCAGGTTCATAGCCAAACAACTGTAACAATGCCCGGAACACCTCTGAAAAACTTTACAATTATGCTCTTGTTTTCGGTAGAAGCAGGGAGCATCACGTCATTTTTGGCTTCCAGTCTGAGTCAGAAGTATAATTGTGCAGCTCACGCAAAGGTCGACCAGTGCTTCGAGGAGTTGACCTGATCTGAGGCAAGACAGGCTCAACTTATGGCTGTTCTGCAGCTCAAGAATGTTAGGGCAAAGTCCACCGTTTCCAAGTAACTCAGTGTCGTAGTTTAGCTAAAGTGGCGAAGCTAGCGCTGTCTGATGAAGACTGGCGAGCCGTAATGGGAGCTAGGGCTCACAGTGTGAAATGTAGCCACTGGTCATTTCTATGTGTCATTTCTTCTGCTGCTTGTGATTTCTACTATTTGTTTTGTCATCTGTATGGTTTGGCTGATGTTCATCCAAACCGTAATCTGTAAGCATCTTTGGGTCTTTGTAAAGCGCTATATAAATGTCAAATTATTATTACTGAGCAGCCCAAAGGGGCTTGAGCAGACCGGCTGGACGACTTGGCTGACAGCACCTGTACATTAGCTAGCACTGTAGTGGAGGACTGGTAAGCCATGAGGAGAGCCGAGGCTCGCAGTGTATTGGCAAAACTCTGTGGATGTTCCAGTGAAATTTAGGCCCAATCCCATTTCACCCCTTGCCCCTACCACTTAGCCCTCTGTTTTGCGCATTCACGTCTAGGGTTAGGGTGTCCCAATTTTTGTTGAGATAGAGGGGTAGGGCGAAGTGTTAGGGTTACATGGCCTTCCAAACTGAGGTTTTTCAGAGGCACACTCCAAACGGAGTGTTATGAAAAAAAGAAAAAAAGAAAAAACAGCAAGATGATTGCGTGAGCGACCAAAGAAACCCACAAATGTAAATATTTTCACTGTTAAAAAATTACGATAACCATTGTATTATATTAGTTTAATGTCATTTCAATGTATTATGGATGTTTTCTTCGTAACAAGCATAAAAAAATCGCTAATAGCATGCTAATGTCTTGGCAGCTAGTTAGCTTATTTTCCTGTTCCAAATGCTGCACCATTTAAGGTGGAATGAGAATATTCGAACAAGAACTTGGTGAATAGTTGACTTCAGCTTTGTATCACCAAAGATTTTGCGGTGGACGATAATAAATAATTGTCTTATACCCCCTCTTTGAAAGCATATGATGCCCTAAATGTAACTAAAGCCCAGCAGTGAGGTTGCTGAACCTTCTCTGCTATCACTGAAGATGGGCCGGGTCGCCTATAGAGCACCGTTAGTAGCCTGTTAATGAAGCAATGTTTTTTCCCACGAAAACAAGGGGTAGGGGTAAAAAGAAGAAATGGGATTGGGCCTTAGTCACTTGAGTAGGGCACGCTTGCCAGAGTAGTTGATAAAGCCTCAGCTTAGCAGTGGAAAAACAGCCCTTTGAGGACAAACGTTTTCAAAGCTCTGAGAAAGTCATTAGGCTGCATTAAGTTAATGAACTGAGAAGCGAGAAGAGAAGGAGGAAGACTACAGCGTGATTCTAGCATACACAGGCTCGACTATGTCACACGCTGCTGTCACAAGGTGACTGTTTGGCATACTTTCTCGGTCTGCAAGCTAGCAAAGCTAGAAAACAATCCACTTGGTAAGAACCACTCTTAGCAGTCAGGAGCTACAAAACATAACAGACAGTTAAAACAGAAGTTAGAACACCACGGGGGTTGTCCTAAAGTTAGGACAGTATTTAGGAAATTTTATTATCTTACCTACAGTTATGATAGGATTAGGAACTTAGAAACTATTGTTCTGTAATAGCTTCTGTCCTAAATTCAGTTTGAACTGAAGCTGTCATGGCGATGAAACAGATATTATTTCACAGTTAGGATGTTTCTGTAATACGGCCCCTGATGCAATATAGCATAGGGAGAGGTAGCAGTCACCTAGATAACTATGCATAGATAACTATTCACAAAAAAATCTCTTACCATTTCTTTTAGTTGTAATAACTCATTATTATAATAAAACAGGCTGCTTCCTTTCTTTGACCTTTGCCAAGCAGAGAGACAGATCAGCACTATTCCATAGGGTAACCTACCTTGCACACAAGATCTGCTATGCTGGACAGACTTTGAGTAATCAGGGGGACACAGGATATTCTCTGCGTTAGTTGTTCCTCCAAGAGTGAATCATAATCTGTACCAAAAATATAAAAATGTTTGTCAGCAAACCTCTTAATGATTTGTGTTTAAACACAGAGTATATATATATGATCATTTCAAGGGGTTAATCTATTGAAATATATATGATCCAGCATATTTGAAGGCTTTACAGCTGACAATGAAAATCACTACTTATCACAATTTTGTGCTCTTTATCCCAAGCCACGAGTATGAGCTTTTAGCTTCAAATCTACTCAGATTCCAATAATGTACAAAGAATCCATCTAGCCAAAACGTAACAGCTATTAAGGCTAATGTTCTAGGCACTGTTTGTTCACTTGAAACATCTTAGTAGATAACCTGCTAAATCAGCCACCCTCATTAGCGCAAAATGTTGGTAGACTGCCAATAACTAATGGAAGGAAATGCATCTCATCCTAGCATCCTATCAGAACGTCCAACACTTAAATACATGTATTTTAAGAATGTCTGGTCATTTCTAGTTTTTGGGCACAGATTTCTAAAATTGGGCTTAATTGTCAAGCCTAACATATGCTTGTTACAACGAGTCTTAATGGGTGCAGTAATTTCTACTCCCATCTTAAGTGTATAAGCTTAATGTTTTCTTTTTTCCTGTTTTTTTTTTTTCATATTAATCCCTTAACTTTTAATTCTCTCTTTCTCCTCTTGCAACTAATTACAAACTAGGTTGAGGATAGCACCATAAAACTGTAGAGATAAGCTTTCATCACAGTTGGTCTGCAAATTCTGTGCACACAGTGTCTGACTCAGTTAATATCCAATACATCCCTCAAACTATAAAAGGATCAGCAGACCGTCTGGCATCCTTTTCCTCAATTGCACTGATCATGGAACGCTAGCTCTTATGATATGTACATATAAGAAGCAGAGAAAGGGTTTTCCCAAACCTGGTCCATGAGGCTGAAGAGAGCATGAAGTGACAAACAGCAGAGGATGGAGGAGGACATCTATTGCTTTCCTTTCTAAAGTCTCAGGGCTGAAAGAACAAAAGAATAAAAGAAGGAAAGAAAGAAGAAAAGAACAAAAAAAAGTACAAAAACAAAAGAAAGAAAGACAGAACAAAAGAAAGAAAGAAAGAAATATGATGCCAATAGTGGCAGGGGTAACATGCTGTTTTCAAAATTAAGTAAATGCTCCTCTTCTTTAATCACCAGTTCTCTAGTTGTAGGATTAGCGCCGCACACTGCACAGATGTGTTTGTATTTCTTGAACACAACATGGTTTCCATCAGTGCCTCCACTCTACACTCTGGTTTGATGAAAAGAGGACTCCTGTTATACAGAGAAAGCACATAACTATGAATGAACGACTTGTACATTTATAGTTAAATCATTTATAATCAAAAAGTAGAATAGAACATACAACTCCATTTCCAAAAAAGTTGGGACGCTGTGCAAAATGTAAATAAAAGTAAAATTCAATGATGTGCAAATCATTTAAACCCTATATTTCATTGAAAATAGTACAAAGACAACAAATCAAATGTTGAAACGCCAATGACAGGTCTGGACTGCTGACAGGCCAGTTTAACACCTGGACTCTTTTAAGACAGAGCCATGCTGTAGTAATATATGCAGAATGTGGTTTAACATTCTCTTGCTAAAATAAGTCTTCCCTGAAAAAGACATCACATGGATGGCAGCATATGTTGCCAAAACAGGTATATATCATTCAGCATTAATGGTGCCTTCACAGATGTGCCAGCCACCCATGCCATGTGCACTAATGCACCCATCATAAATACTGGCCTTTGAACTGTGCACTTATAACAAGCTGAGTGGTCTTTAGCCTGGAGGACACTGTGTCCATGATTTCCAAAAAAGAATTTCAAATGTTGATTCATTGGACCACAGAACACTTTTCCACTTCTCCTCAGTCCATTTTAAATGACCTTGGGCACAGAGAAGGTGGCAGCATTTTTATTTCCTTTTAATGTATATTTTTTATTTTCATTTTTCACAGCGTCCCAACTGTTTTGGAAATGGGGTTGTAGAACATTCAGTCATAAATGCTACATATTCAATCTAATCTGCCATTTATTGACTGTTTTACTGACAGAAGGCTCAATACAAACAAGGAAAAATGTGTGTAAAATTGTTTAATTGGGGGGAAGGCGCTGTAGAGTGTGCATCTAACTCTTACAGGCTGCATGGCTTTTTTGACAAATTTTAGTATCTCTCTACACTTAAAGAGCATTTTAAAGCAGAACCTGTGTCTTGAGTATGAACAACTGCTGCACTAAAGATTTGGCAAAAGTTTCAGTCAGCAGGGACTCGGAACATACTTTTGGCATGGTTAGTGAGTGGGAAGCTGGCAACTTTCATGTTTTGTTAATTACTAATATTTATTGAAGAACCACTTATAATGTTCCTGTTCATGTCGTAGTTCATAATTTTGCCAATTTACACCTATTGTAGCTTGGAATGCCACAGCGTTGCAAGTGAGCAGAAACGTGGACCCTGTATCTTTTCAGCATGGGCAGTATACCTTATTACAGTTACCACTGCCAGTGAAAAAAACCCTCTTTAGGCTGAGAAATCAAAACAAACCCATCAGAGACAAATCAACAACACTAAGAGGAAAAAAAAAAACAAACTAGTGAGCTCAGAAACACCAAAAGGCCCAAAAAACCACAGAAAACAACTGTGACACATGACAGAACAATTATTTTCCTAGTGAATAAAAAACTCTTCAGAACAGTTGCCCAGATCAAGAACAACCTCCAGGAACATATCTGTGTTAAAGACTTCACCAGAGTAAATACAGAGGTAAATGCAAGATGTAAACCATTGGTAATCTTTGATGAGCTAAAGCTCAAAAACATGACGCTCAGATTAGATTTTGCAAAATCATCTAAAAACAGCCTGTACAAGACTGGAACAACATCTCATGGACAGATGAGACAAAGATCAACTTGTACCAGAATGATGGGAAGAAAATGGAGAATGGATCCATTCAAATTCAGCCAAATGCTTCACAACTCATTGGACATTGCTTCACAGTGCAGATGCATACAGTGAAAGCAACCCAAAACTTTTTTTATGCGAAGAAGTGGAATGTTTATACACATGCACATGTTGATAACATCACATCTGCTCCATGCAGCATACTAACCAGCTAAGCTTATTTTTTTATATTCTATTCATTAGAAGAAAGCAGAGAAGAAGCAAGTTCTCGCTAATCAATACTAAAACGCTGTATTATTTCTATTTTTAGGTACGCGTTACTTCATGTATAAAGTTGTTAAGTCTGAAACATTCTTATAAGCTGTACAGTTATACTAACGCAACAGAGCGCAGCAGAATGATATCTTCATTGTGCGTGCCTCTCGTCTATGTAAAAATCCAAGTGATTATTACAGTTAATCAGCTGCTGTTTTTGAATTGCAATTATCCTAGATTATACTGTTACTTTTGTTTTAAGCGCAAACTACACTAATACCTGTTGTAAAAAATAAATAAATAAATAAATAAATAAATAAATACTGACAACTTTTTGACTTGAATAGTGTGATTCACAAACGTATGAATCACTGGAGATGTAGACATATGTGTACAGGGAGTAGAGCAGTGAGTAAAGTACACTGTGGATTGCCACTCGTGATGAACACAGTTCTGAGAAACACTTACTTAGCCAAAGACATAGGGTCAGATTCATAAAACACACCGCCAGATTTACAGTGACTTTGATAAAGTTATACCATGATTTCATAAATCCTCTCTAAAAAAAAAAAGTCTCTCAAGAATAGTTAAATCTAGGACTCCCACAGAATAGGATAGCAGGTCAGTGGACAACAATGTTTAATGCGGAAAGCTTGTAATATGTTACATAAATAACCTTACAGGATTTGTAATGTCATGTAGGCACCACATTGTAAAAGCCAAATTATCTCTTTTTTTTTACTTCATGTTACTGTTTAATAGTTGCTAATTCAATATATGAACTTGCCCTGTTTAAAGGGGAACTAGATTAATTTTTCAAAATTTCTGTATAATTAAATTGTTAAGATGTAATACTTATCCATAGTAGTTTGATGCGAACAGCACCATTCTAGAGAAAACTATGTGGTCAGAATTGTTCACTACGGTGGTGATGGGAACCAGACACCCAAGTCATGTAATGCCTCTAAAAACTACTTCACAGAAGTGTATTAAATGAAATATTATAATACATCATATGTAGATCATATACATCTCCATGATTTCATTACGTAGAAACATTGACAAATTCAATACTTAATTAAATACTGCAGCAGCCTGTTAGCTGTCTGCTGTTTTAAACAGTATTAAAGACTCACCTTGCAGAAACTTGAAGAACTGCCATGATATGCTGAGTTAATGAGCACTCCTGCAGGTTTGCTAGTACCTCCAGAGGTTCCAGAACATGTGTCCACAGCATTTCCTTCAGAGGTTCACTGCATTGGGCAAGAACTACGGCAAGCAGCCTTAAGCCTGAGAGGACAACAGCCTGTTCCTCTGAGGCTAATGACTTCGCCACATGGATCATTACTTCTGTCGTAACTGAGGCCCAGTCAGTGCTGACAGGAGAGCTTTGTGCCACACTCTCAAAATTGTTGCTTAACACAGTGGAATTTAAAAAGTGTGCTAAAACTTGATTGGTCAAAGAGGCAATGAAGAGGCTTTCGTCATTTTGAAGATACAGGACCAGCTTAACAAGCTCTGTAAGTAAAACAAAGGAAAGTAAATTAAGTGAGGAAAATATTGCATGTTTCCAAAAAAAAAGAAAAAACAACATAACAAAACTTAGCAATAAGCTAATACCAGCTAAAATCACAACTCCCTAAGGATTATTTAGCAAAAATGCAAAGCTTAGATAACAGTTGAAGCTTTTAACCTTGTTCCTATACTTGTACCCAGAAAGATATTGCACTGCATGTTGTATTTATATAGTTTCTGCAACTTTGCTGTGCAACCAGAGGATGCTTTGAAACCTGATCTTGGTCTATCCCATGTAAAGCGCACTGCAAATATCAGGGAGGGAAAATAAAAGTAATGTTTTCATACTAGTATACAGTCAGGTCCCTCGGACAGTGACAATTTTCGCTCTGTATACCACAATAGATTTGAAATGAAGCAGTCCATGTATGAATGAAGTGTAGACTTTCTGCTTTAATTCAAGGGGTTAAAAAAATTATGCATTAGGAATTACAGCCATTTTGTATAGTCCCTCCACTTCCACAGGCTCAAATGTAATTGGACAGTAGACTGCAAATCGGTTTCATGGCCAGGTGTGGCCTGTTTCCTTATTACTGCAAGACAAATTAAGGAGATGAAAGGTCTGGAGTTGATTCCAAGTGTTGAATATGCATTTGGTAGCTGTTCATGGGAACTCTCAATATGCAATCCAAAGAGGTGTCGATGCAAGTGAAGGGGCCATCATTAGGCTAGAAAAACAAAATAAACCTTTCAAAAAGATACCAGAAACATTAAGAATGTACCAAATTATTGGTTTGGCCATTTTTAAAAAGAAGGAATGCACTGGCGATCCCAGCAGCACCAAAAGGCCTGGAAGACCACAGAAGACACTTAAAATGGACGAACACATAAAAACCCCTTCACAACATCTAGTGAAGTCAAGGACATCCTTGAGGAGGCTGGGGTATCATTGTCAAAGTCTACAATCAAGAGATGGCTTCATGAATGTAAAGTTTACCTCAGTATGCAAACCACTGGTAACACACAAGAAAAGAAAGGCCACATTAGACTTTGCTAGAAAACATCTAAAAAAGACTGCCAAGTTCTGGAACAAGAGTAGACAGTATTATGGCATGGGCATGTATGGCTGCAAATGAAACTGGGTCACTGGTGTTTATTGATTATGTGACTGCTGACCAGAAGTAGCAGGATGAATTCTAAAGTGTACAGAGCTATAATTTCTGCTCAGATTCAGTCAAATGCTGTAAACCTGATAGGACAGCGCTTCACAGTACAGATTAATAACATCATGAAACCAACCCAGGAGTTTCTTAAGACAAAGAAATGTTCTTAAATGGCCAAGTCAGTCATCAGACTCAACCCAATTGATAATGCTTTTTACCTACTAAAGACAAAACTCAGGGCAGAAAGACTCACAAACAAGCAGCAACAGAAGGCGGCTGCAAAAAAGACCTGAGAAAGCAACTTGAGGGAACTCGACATTCATGTCATTCAGTCCATGGGTTCCAGATTTCAGGCAGTCATAGACTGCAAAGAATTTGCCTCCAGGCAATAAAAAAATAATCCTTGTATTTGTAATTATGTTAGTATGTCCAATTACCTTTAAGCCTGTGAAAATGGAGGGACTACATAAATAATGGCCATAGTTTCTATACAGTTAATGCAATATTTTTGTTAAACCCCTTGAATTAAAGCCGAAAATCTACATTTCAATCATATCTTGACCGCTTCATTTCAAATACATTGTGGTGTACAGAGACAAAATTACAAAGATTGTATCACTGTTCAAATACTTACGGACCCTACTGTAAGCCATATAAATATAGTGGTAACATTTAAATGTCGTTGTCCCAATCTGGAATGCATGGTTATTAAATAAGCCAAAAAACAGTACAAATAACACACTTCCAGCATCTCATGCATTAATAACCCTTGCTTGCTTGGAAAAACAGGGTTTCCAAGCAAGCCCTCCTTACACTTGTAATTCAGATTACTACAATGGGTTTCCAAAAAATTAAATACACATATCTGAATCTGAATAAGTGTAACAGGAATTCAAAGGATTTTAATGAATCCTTTGTAATTAAATACTCTTTAATAAATGGCACCCAAAATGTGATTTAGGCCTGTGTCTCTGAGTAAGAGTCCACACCCGTCTGCAAAATAATCTCAAGATTCATTACAAACTGTCTTGATAACCAAACCTAAATATAAGCACATAAATCTCCTAAATAGTCCTATTGATTCATAACAACTGTACCGCTAACCCAGTTTACCTATAGCCTTTTTATTGTCCAAAATAATCCTATAGTTTCATATTACCTGGACAAAGATTTACAGTTTGAAGCCTACTTGAAGCTTTACAAACAAGGCAACTGCTTTTCTTATTGAAGGGCAGGACTTTCTCTGTAAACAGATGGCCAGGTCAGCATTACAAGTTCTCTCATTAATTTTTCACCTAGTGAACTGCCTCCTTCTCCTTTATATTGTGAGGATGATGCAAGAACCCAGTGAACCCACAGGTTCAACACATACATTTATGAATACAGACAGTTTATGAAGAGGTTTATTGGGACATGTTATTATAACAGTGATATGCTAAATGCAGTGGTAAAAGTTGGTCAGTCAGTGGCCCAGTTTAATTTGATCAGCAGAGAAATCTAAATAATCTAAACTCAAACATATGATCTCTTCACCTGTAATCTCTTTCCACTAACATGCATACAATAATGTGAAGAAGTAAGTACACCCCATGGGAAGTATTTAATTTAGTTAAAAATGAACATTTTTCTTTTATATAATTGAAATAAACAGTACTGCAATTTTATGTGGAAAAAGTATGTACACACTCACAAATATCACTACTTCAAACGTGTTAATTGAAATCAGGTGCACTCAATCAGATGCTAATGATTAGAACACCGCAGAAGAATCATCATGCCTAGATCAAAAGAGTTTCTTTATGCCTTCAGAAAGAAAGCTGTAGATGTCTGGGAAGGGGTTTATGAAGATATGAAAAATACTGGAAACTAATCATTCCAGTGTCCAGAGGATCATCTACAAGAGGAGAAGATTTAAAACCACTGCCAACTTGTCCAGGCCAGGCCGCCCCAGCAAATTTAACCCAAGAGCAGACTGTAACATACTAAAAGAAGTCTAAATTTCATCACAGGATCTGCAGGTAGACCTTCCCACTGTTGATGCAAAAATGCATGCACCTATTAGAAAAAGATTGCCAAGAGGCACCAAGACGAACATCGGGGCAAGACTAAAGTTTGCTAATGATCATCTAGGTGAGGACCAGGACTTCTGGAACAATGTGCTGTAGACAGAGGAGTCAAAGTTAAAGTTGTTTGGCCACAGTACCAGAAGCCATGTTTGGCAAAAACCAAAGACAGCATTTGATTAGAGGAACCTGATATGATCGGTAAAGCATGGTGGTGGAAATTTTATTGCTTGGAGCTGCTTTGCTGCCTCAGGTCTGGCCAACTTACGATCACAGGATTGACTGTAAATTCTCTTTCACACCAAAGAGTGCTTGAGGAGAACGTGATTATCTATAAAACGTTGAAGCTGAAGAAGTCGACCTTACAACAGGATAATGATCCCAAACATAAGAAGAAGAAGGATAGGGTTACAGAATTGCCTATTCAAAGCCTGGATCTTATTACCACTGAAGCGCTGTGGATGGATTTAAAACAAGCTGTACATGCAAGAAACCCCTCAAATTTTGCACAGTTTAAAGAATTCCGCATCGAAAAACATCCCAGTAGATGTCAGAAACTGGTAGGCAGCTGTTGTTGTTGTACAATAACAGTACCAGTTATTGAACCCAGGGGTGTACTTACTTTTTCAACAGACAAAAATGACTATTATTTTTAATACATGATTAATACATACAAGTATTTTTTTAATACATGATTGCAAAGTCAAATTTCCATGTTTTTTGTTCTATTATATAATATTTATCCATACGTACTGTTGAATTGAAGACAAAATTCTAAAGTTTCCACAAGTCAAAAAAATGGATAAATATTTCACGGGGTATACTCACTTCTTCACATGACTGTACGTTCTGTCTCAGTACTATTCCACATTTGTAAAGATAACAGTGTTATAGCTTTCTTACTAGTTTGAGTTTCATTTTCAGAAATTGCCATTTAGATAATATACACTTATGACTTGTTGCTTTCATTTACATGTCAATAAATTTCATGTTAACCAATCAGTCTACATTGTTTTGAAACAAATATTGGATTCAACCACTATCACTTCATAATAAAATAAAATTCTTGTTTGTAATTTCTTTTGTCAGTAAGTCTGGTACTGTGTATTTGATTATCCATGAGACTGATTAATTAAAGAGGCTGACTGTGATGCCTAAATACAATTAACATTGTAACAGCAATATTTTGTAGCAATCCTACAATGTTGTGACCAGGTAAAAAAAGCATGGCCAACCTTACGATTTACAAATCTTTTGCTGCCAACTGATGTTTTACCTCATACTGAATGTCTATTGTGACCTAGCTTCAGATGTTGTGGGTTTTTTTTTATATGCAACAGGTAAGTTTCTATCTGAAGCTTTCAACTCAGTTGATGTTCATGTTGCAGAATCATCTGACAAAAGGAGCACCATTCATCATTTTTCTAGTAAACGTGCACTCTTCACTCAAGACAGTGTGCAAACTCAAATTTACCTCTCTTACAGAAAAAGTCCATGGCTTGTTGGTGTTGCAGCATGTTCCACAGTCCTTGCAGCCACCCACAACGTACGGAGGCATTTTTCCAAAGGTTTAGTTTATGCCAGTTATCTGGCTCAAACATATACAGTAACATTCCTCTCTCCTAAACCAAAATAGACAGAAACAAAAACAAACTTATGTGATCTGGGATACATGCATATTGTACAAATGTGCAGAACAGTAGTGGGAAAACAAAATTTACATCATGTTATAAGTAAAATTTCTGACTGTTTCAGTGTGTGTGTTTACATAATATATACATATATACAAATGTATTTTATATGAACAAATAAACCTACTTTTGTTGATTAACAGTGGCTTATTTTTTTCAGATGTCCCTTCACTTTTAATAAGAACCATATGGGCTTTATTTCTATGACCTTTTGGCATAACAGAGTGATCATGTTATGCACAGATCATGTAATAACTTGTATGCATGTCGGTACTACACTTCATACATGAGTGAAATTAAAGACATAATACATCACAAGCGTTAAAAATGAATAATATAAAAAAGAGAAAACAAAAAAGGTTGCAAAAAATGTACAGCAGACGATAAAAACTTAAATGTGAATAGATAAATTAAAAATCTCAGACCTTATGGAATCTTAGCCTTCACAACCCAAGTGATATTTGAGGAAAAGGTCAAACAGTTTGAAGACGTAGTTTATTTGAATAATAAATAGTAGCACTGATGCTATTCACAGAACGAGTCCATTATTGTGTTTAACCCCTCCCACAGGCTTCTCATGTTGGTGATGTTGAACTGTGATTCCACTTTAGCCCTTTATTTACATTTGGCTGCTCTTATGGTCTAACAGAGAGCATAGCTATTTTTTTATACTCATCCGTGTTTCCTGATTTAATAGCAGCGGTACGTGCATTTAGAGCTGCACAAACTTCACAGTTAAGCCAATTAGCTTAACACAGTTAAGCTTAAACACTATTTAGCTTATTCACATTTTAGCATTTTATTTTAGACCAAAGTCATCCAAAAAAGAGCAATACAAACTTCAGATTCTGTGCTGATAGATACTGGATATACTAAGTTCCACTGCAGTTCTATATGTTACTTAGCACTGAAGTAGTTTCTTTTGACCTGACACTTTTGTACTATTACTCAAGTTGTTTTATTTAAAGGCACTTTTACTTTTACTTTGTGCCATTTTTTCACCCCAAGTATCAGTATTTTTTTTGAGTATCAATTTCGGCTACTCTACCCGCCTCTGGTCCTGACCACTGAAGAACAGGGTGAAAGGTGGTTAACAAAGTATGTGGAGAAACAGATGGACTACAGTCTGTTATCGTAGAGCTACAAAGTGCCCTATATGGTAAGTGGAGCTGATATGGACAATAAGTGTAAAAAACAAGGTGGTGTTCCTAATTAAGTGCTAGGTGAGTGTACGTAATGAAGCCATTAGATTGAATAGCAAGTACATGTTCACCGATGAGCCATAACATTAAATCCACCTTGTCTGTACACTCCATTTTTAGCGGCTCCACTTACCATATGGGTGCATTTTGGAGTTCTACAACTACAGACTGTAGCCCATCTGTGCACCATAACACAGCATCTGATCTTGGGGGGAAAGACCACATGCGCTGATTCTAAAATTTTCAAAATAAAGGTTGAATCATGCAAGTTCTGAGGGCTGCAGGTCACTTTTCCTACAGTCGCCACTCTATCTGCAATATAGGCAGCAATCATGAGGAAAAGGCAGGCTTTCTATAACTTAACCCCCAAATAGGGACCATTTTTAACAACTAAATTAAATCTGAGATTTTTGTCCAAAAGAGTAAAAACAAAACCAAACAATACCCAGAAAAACTTATGTCAATATGCCTTCCAACACGTCCCGCAGGCCTGGCTAAAACAGTGCTAACTGTTTCACATCAGAATTTCTACAAGCCTTCTTATTAGGCAGCTTTTTGTTAAAAAAATTTCATTAAAATGGAGAAGCAGTTACATTCTGGCTCCTGTACAGGCACCTGAATGTAACTGCTGCACCATTTAAGGTGGAACAGGAATCTTGAATAAGAAGGCAACTCTCTGACCATCGGACACAACTAGAATTTGAAAAATATCACAGTTACACAGCTATCAATGCCAGCTGGTCTACAGCCTGTTTTGCACACACAGTGATCTCGTCTGATGCAGCTGACAGAGTAAGTGGTTTCTCAGGTAGTACAATAGGAAATGTGGCAATCAGAATGGTGTCCATGTTAGGCTAAGGCTAACCCCAAAATGTCCACCTCAAAAACATAGTGCACTGCTTCAGATGGAACAAACTAGACAAGAGAGGCTAGACAAAAGGTGATCAAGCGACTTCTGCTTTTTTACTTTCATTTAAAAAGTGCCTGAAACATCCCTGAATCCCTGTTATTCAACTAAACACGTTACAGTGGTTTGCAATGTTTGTACATCACATTATCCTGCACATACTTGTGTCATTTCGGTATTCTGGTCATATCAAAACTCATACCGGAGAAAGAATTTTAACCAGTAAACTGGATGAACCATTATATCGCCCTTCTAATGCAGACAATGACTATAAAAAGAAGATAGAGAGATATATTTGCTAAACTAAAAACAGTCAACAAAATGTAAAAAAATTAATGACTGCATAAGAGATTTTTGTTTAAATATTCCATTAGGGTCAGCTCTTACCTCTAGTAAGTTGAAACTGTCCTCTTTAGATGCCAGAAGCCCAGTGAGTTTAAGGGCGAATGAAAAGACAGTGGGATCTATTGCTTCAGACGTTGTCACACTAAGTAAGAACTGCAAGAGAGATGGTTGATGCCGGATAATATGCTTGCCATAACCTGAAAAGTAAAAAAAAAATATATATTTTGAATGTTTTATGATTTTAAATGATTTAAGATAATATTGTACTGTTTTACTCAAGGCTTAGAAACTGAATATGGAAAGTTATTAGACTTGGCAGATGCATAAATATAACAAGTGGAATACAATTATTTACCAGAGGTTGTTATGATAGCAAACAGACCTCATTATCTGTCAAAGGCATAATTTAACATAATGAAGTTCATATTAAGAAAATGTTGATTGATAGCTCAGTTTTCCTTAGAACAGTGACACAAATCACAACTGCAGAAAAAAAAAAATCCATTGACAACATCAAAATGAGACATGAATTGCTTATGTAATGCCTTAATATTGTAAGAATGTTTACTTCATTTGTTTATGGATTGCATATAAAAAATAAATAACATGCTGTGATGCATCTCAAAAAAAAAAAACACATGGTATGAAATTTATATTCAGTTATCACAGGACAAATCTGGTGGGAGTGGTGAGATCACCCAAACACCTACCACCTAGAAGGAGAACTAATCTGTATTGAGGACCAGGCGTGATAAGGACTTGGACACTCTCCATGCCATATCCACCCTAAGATGGAGGTCTCCTGGAGGTGTTCCATGTTGTCAGAAAATGCTTTTCCCTTTTTACCAACTGCTCTATTATTAAAGTTGTTAAATATTTTAACCATGTTAAAATGTTTTTTATAAAAAATATTAATGAATAAATACAAAATTGTGTTTTCTAATTCTGTACCGGAAATGTATTGTAATGCAAAAATGTATCGTGAATTTTGTGTATTGTTGCACCCCCACTCTAAACAATAATTACATAATAATAATGATGATGATCAAGGAGAAGGTGGTAATATCACCTTTGTTTCAGTGTGTTTTCAATTATGCTCAATTGTGCATTCAAAAGGACTTAATTTCTTAAGTTAATTCAAAAATGTGTTTATTTCTTGTTTGTTATGGCAGCCTCAGAACAAGTGGTGCTTTGTTAGTTTATTTATACATTTTAGAAATACTATATTTCCTTGTGCAAAATTAATTAGGTTTCAGAAGGACATGCAAAGGAATGGAACACTTGCCACCCCAACAATTACAGATCATGAAATACAACCTTAGGGTGACTCTCAATTAGCAAGTGTAGGCTACTCACTTTGACTCATCAACTCTCTGAACCAGTCCAGAAGCTTCTCCAAAGAGGTATCATCAGGCAGCAGAAGTTTAGGATTAGCTAGGACTTCACAGACAGAAGGCAGCAGGGATAAACAGTCACTCGCCATGGCATAGAATAAAACAAAAAATTGGTGGGTAACTGGGAAGGAAGGACAAACAACACTTACTCAAATGTGACTCAACTTAATCATTTTAAAATGACATACACCAAAATAATTCTCATTATTGAGTTGATTAGTGAAAAAAGCAAAATGTAGACAAACAGGTATATGAGAAGATCAAAACAGAGCATTTGTCATATCACTGAAATACAGTTATGAGAAATCTATGTAAATGTATGTAAAGGTGAGTGCCACCTCTTTAAAATAAAATTTAAAAAAAAAACAGCAAGGGACAATAAACAACACAGAGCTGTGACCTGAGAACTTAAAGACCCAGGGAAACCAAGTCTGAGTTTTCTTTCAAAGTAGGTTAATCTTCTGTGAATGTCTTTCCAATGTCCGCTGATGTATTTGGCCAAAATTCTCCTCTCCATGTAAAACAGGCAGTTCCAAGGGCAATTCTAGACTTTTACCCAATAGGGGTGCTCATCCCACAAAAAAGACTTTTTTTATTTTTAAATCTCTCATTAAGGCCATTATGGGCTTATCAGCCCAAAACTGCTGCAAAGTGGGTGAGGCAATTTGAATAAAGCAAACAACTAGTTTCTTTTAAAACGTCAGACTTCTTGCCTTTCACAATGTAAAATTCAAGCCACATGTCATCTGATATTAATGTCTGTGGGTTTGTTCTTTGTTTAATGTGTTTCAGTAACACAATGAGTGGAGTACTGTAGCATGCTGAAAACCTGATCAGTACTCACAGTTGATGTGTTATTCTATTAATTATAATATTTGTCAGTTCTGAAATGTTCATAGGTCATCTGTCTGTCTTTTGCATTCTTTCACTTCTCTACCTCATGTTTATCTACTTGTCTTTTTAGAGACTACAACAGCTATTATGAAAGTTCCTTATTATGATTATCGATAGCAAACCCAAGAACTTAGCGTAAAAGATTGTTGTTTTCCCCTGCATGGTGTTACACAAAGAATTTGTCATATATGTCATACATGTGATGTAGATAGTGGATAAAAACTCAAAGTCATGGGCTTCAGCAGGCTGCACCCTAGCTCTTTTTCTCAAAATAACAAAGACAATAATATACACCGATCAGGCATAACATTATGACCACCTTGTTTCTATGCTCATCGTTCATTTTATCAGCTCCACTAACTATATAGGTGCACTTTGTAGTTTTACAATTACAGACTGTAGTCCATCTGTTTCTCTGCATACTTTGTTAGCCCCCTTTTACTCTGTTCTTCAGTAGTCAGGACCCCCATGGACCCTCACAGAGCAGGTACTATTTGGGTGGTGGATCATTCTCAGCACTGCAGTAACACTGATGTGGTGGTGGTGTGTTAGTGTGTGTTGTGCTGGTATGAGTGGATCAGACACAGCAGTGCTGCTGGAGTTTTTAAACACTGTGTCCACTCACTGTCCACTCTATTAGACACTCCTACCTTGTTAGTCTACCTTGTAGATGTAAAGTCAGAGACGATAGCTCATCTGCTGCTGCACAGTTTGTGTTGGTCATCCTCTAGTCCTTCATCGGTGGTCACAGGATGCTGCCCCCAGGACACTGTTGGCTGGATATTTTTGGTTGGTGGACTATTCTCAGTCCAGCAGCAACACTGAGATATTTAAAAACTCCAGGAGCACTGCTGTGTCTGATCCACTCGTACCAGCACAACACATACAAACACACCGCCACCATGTCAGTGTCATTGCAGTGCTGAGAATGATCCACCACCCAAATAGTACCTGCTCTGTGAGGGTCCATGGGGGTCCTGACCACTGAACAACAGGGTAAAAGGGAGCTAACAAAGTATGCAGAGAAACTGATGGACTACAGTCTGTAATTGTAGAACTACAAAGTGCACCTACATAGTAAGTGGAGCTAATAAAATGGAGAATGAGTGCAGAAACAAGGTGGTGGTCATGTTATGCCTGATTGGTGTATGTATGAGGAACAATTAATGTAATTCTTTACTAAATTAGACCTACCTAGCATTCAAATCATATAAATCACTATAAATCACTGCAATTTACTGCAAATACAGATGAACAGATACTCTTTTACTAATGCCGACTGAGCTCTTATTTTGAAGTGCAATGTAGAAGAAGACGTCCATGACAGTGGTTAAGAAACCAGTCTGACAGAAACTACTCTGACACACTTTGGACAATAAAACAACAACAAACACACAAAGATGCCAGCGTACAAAGAAATTATAAATAGCCAAGTTCAAGTTGTATGCTTGCTAGCAAGTGATTGCAGAACAACTTCACTTTATTTGTTCTTTGCTTTAGGCACATGCTATTAGGAGCAAACTTCAGAGATTTCAAGCCATATTTGATCGCTCACAAAAGTCATTTGTAAGGTGAACCGTCAGCTGATTGAGATCGGCTGGTAACAGCTAGCGATTTGAGATTGACTTTGTGGCCTGCCTGAACTGACACTATGCTCAATTTCAGTCAGGACCACTTTGTCAAAAGAAAACATTTTATTTCCATTTGCAGTAAGTTATATTTGGCAGTATGGCTCTGTTGTGGCACCTCTCTGTCCTTCCATGTGCATACAAACTGGGGCGCAGCAAAAAGACCCCCAAAACGATTATATCTGGCAAACCTCCAGCCAGAAGGAGGTTGCAAATAGGCTTACAGAGGAAGTGGCAAGACCTGAAAGGCTAAAGCAGCTTAAATAAGCACCCTCACAAATTTAGCCAATGTATGTGTAACAGTTTAAACAATTAATTGCAGGTTTCCCCTGAGAGGCATGAAGAGCAACCCAACAATTTGAACAGCTTTTAATTTGTTAAAATTTAAGGTTACATAATCAAAGAACTAACTGGGCAATAGTTAGACACTACAGTACTTTTCTTTGATCATGAACCATGAACCTCACCACTTCCCAAGGCTACATATTACCTGTCTATTTAAAAATCACGCACACCTCCACCTATCAACGGCGCTGGCACCCATGTCTACACTAGAAATGAAACGATATTAAAATTTCATATCACGATTATCATGACCAAAATTATCACGATTATCGGTATTATCGCGATATTGTTCAATTGTGTTGAAAAGTAAAATAAATTTAAAAAAATAAATACCGATACACAAACTCGTTTCACTAACTTTTATATTAACACAAATAGAATTGACAGCAATATGCACTTTTTGTTTGCATAAACATTAAACAATAAGGTCAATACATTTTTAGTATTACTTTTGTATTACTTACAATACTTGTAATACTCTGTAAACAACAGAATAGCAAATGTATTATTATTACTGTTATTATTATTATTATTACTGTTATTATTATTATTATTATTATTATTAGTTACAATAACTAGGGGTTTCCCTGCATAGAGAATTAAATCTCTGAGGTGGGTCTTAATGGAAAATTACTACTTCTAAGAAGTGTTGCACTCGGGGGATTTCTGTCCTAACTGCAATTGCAGCATTATTGTGCCGTTGTGGCGCTGTACCCCTAATCAATACAGTGCACCAGGAAAAACTAAAAACAAAATCACAGAGGAACTGCGTGATCGTGCTGTGAGCTGCAGACAGTGTAGAATTCACACAGTGTGTCTTCACCTGTGGAGCTGCTCCTCTAAAAGCATTTTAAAACTAAAACATAACTTAAAATTAACATGCATCTGAGCTGCGGCAGAAACACTCCTAAAGTTTAATCTCTGAAACTCTGCTTTTCCTAAAAGCAGCACACAGCGTTTACTCGTGCAAGGTCCCGTCTCAAAGCACACTATCTTCCCTATGTAGTGCACTTCGTGGATCATGAAATAGCAAATCCTTCACCCAAAGAGTGCATGAAATGTTCGACTAAGTCATCTATAATCAACATTAACAATAGGTTACAAATTCACTATTTAAAACTCAACTGCTTATTAATGATGATTGTGTTTGTTTGAACAGTAGCGCACTATGTAGGGGACACTGAGTGATTTGAGACGGTGTTATTCTCTTCTCAGACAGTAAACACTGCAAGTGAGACGAGAAAGGGGAGCTGTGCAGATTGAACTTTTGCAGCATCTCGTTCCGGAGCTTGTGTGACTCAGAGCTCATTTTGGAGACACTGCTCCACAGAAATGTGTGTTAAAAGCTTTAGTTTCCATTCACAGTTGATTCACCGATTGTTTTGACGCTAAAAGCTTCATTTTATATTATTAACGAACCATAAGCATTAGTTAAACCACACAAACCATGACATTTCGTCTATTTCGAAGTCCCCACAGACTTCTACGTTAAAGTTAACCTTGCATTCTTGCAAGTAGCGGGTGGTGGTCGCAAAGATGACTCGTAAGGTTTGATGTGTTGCCCCCTTTCGCCGCTATTTTCTTTCGGCGTGTTCTGTAGACAGGCTGGTCATCTTCAATTAACTTTTAACTTTCCTTCTGCATCCTTATAAAACCCAAAATATGACCAAACGTCAGACTTGGTCTTCTTAGAAGGCTGAAATATCTCTGAATCTCTGAGTTTTTCACACCGCGGTAATAGAACGTGGTTTTAACGATACTTTAAAGTCCAAACGGTACTACTAACCGTCATTAATTTTACTGCGGTTTACCGTGAAACCGGTAACTGTTTCATCTCTAGTCTACACTATAAACAGAAGCATGCAACAAACAGTATATTCTAGTGCATATGCAGAATACAGCATGTTATTTCGAAAACAGCTACTATCCCAGACGTATATTATTGTTATGAGATCACACGTGATTATCTATGCTACCTCCATCACATACGAGATCCAAAGCAACTCACAAGCATATTTTAGCTAACAAAGTCTATGCATTAAACTTGTCTGGTCTGTTCTCGCAACAAATTCTAAGCTCTGAAAAGATACTTTTACTTACAATATAGCTGCTTTTCACAGAAGCATGGACAAGCTTACAAATTGAGGTACTAGGAAAAGAAGCTGATGGTATGGCAAGCCGTTTCAGCCTAAAATGACTCCAGCGATACAAGCTGTAACTCAGTATTTACTAGATGTGTGTAGTTTAATTTGAAATACTTAAAATTATACAAATTTTCCTTACGACTGTATTTCTATATAAGAGTGTCTCATGGTATATGGCAGGTTACTACCATTAGGTTTGCTGAATGAAATTATAACCATGGTCGCTCACTGTTCAGCGTTAACCACTGTTAGCCCATAAGCAAAAGTCTACCTTTGCATTCAACACCTTCAAAATTGCTTGAATAGGCCTAGTTTTTACTTAAACTGGAAGTAGAAAAGCAATCTATCTGCAATAAGCAGTCTCAGAAGTAACCTGCAGTTTATTTACACTAGTGTGTCCATCAGGCACACTTAACAGCAGGTTAGATTACAATTTAACCTACTTTTAACATTATATGGTGCAATACAATTAGACCTAAAATAAAACCTAGATAAGGAAATCACAAATTAAACTCCGTTTTATCCTTTAGAGTCCAACCCACCATAAAAACGTCCAGTAAAGCTACTGAGCATACCTATTAGCTATATGATTAAATTGCTAAGAATTGTAACTGATTTAACTAATCGTCTGGTTGCTGAAATACTGGCGATGTTTCTGGAGCACTCCAGTCTTTCCTTCACTAATGTGACCCCATTTAATACTCTGTTGGCTCATATTGGGTGTACATCCTGTTTTTCATTGTTGTTGGCAGGAGTGTGTGCTGTTTTCTCTGCTCTATCATTCTAGTATCTTGCTGTTTTTCACACTGTCAAGTAGTTCTTGCATATTACTCGCAATTTGCCCCACTCAGTGAAACACTCTCCGAGACACCTGTTGAAAGAGCTCTGGTCATAGGTGATTCTATTTTACAGCACAGTAAAATAGCTTTCCCTTTAGAGGCACCAGTAGCAGTTAGATGTATACTGGGAGCCAGGGCGCCAGACAATAGAGAAAACCTGAAGCTGCTAGCTAACCGTAGGTATTTGAGAATAGTCATTCACGTAAATGCAAATGACAGTCATCTGTGGCAGTCAGAAATAACTAAAGCTAATATTAAAGAGGTGCGCAAACTTGCCGAGACGTTGCCGTAATATGCTCTGGACCCTTCCTAGTTCTATGTGGTGCCGAAATTCACAGCCACAGACAATTAGAGTGAAAATGGTGCCTGACTAAACTAGAAGTACTCCAGTTCACCTTATTGACCGTAAAAGGGCACTTACTGTAGCACGCTCAACCTATCTCTCCTCTCTGATTGAAAATAAGAATAATCCTAGATTATTTTTAGCACAATTTCTAAACTGACTAAGAACCAAACAGCTACTGAAGCTACTGACCACCATCAGCCTACAGCAGCAATGATTTTACGAATTTCTTCAATAACAAAATTGAAACAATCAGGCAAAAAATTTGAAAACGCACAGTTAACCTCTACAAACCTCCTGCCCTAAAAAGCTAATCGAGATCTTGAGTTCACTGTAATTCCTACAAAGAGGCTGGAATCGTTTACCTTACTTGAACAAACTGTGCTAGTTTAAATTATTCCTTCTACTTCTACTAGCATATTAGTTCCCATCTCAAATCTTCCTTTTATATTAAAGATTTTGGAAAAAAACCTGTGGCACAACAACTAAGACCGAAATTTTTCCTGCATGTGATTCCTACGCAAATAGAAGTTAGGTTTTGATTTTAGCTCTTCTGGTACTTGATGGAATCTGTGATACCATGTGTCCAAAAAACTGTCCAGAGCCTTTAGAAGAAAAACAGCCCCACACTATCACAGATCCACCTCCATACTTCATAGAGGGGTTGTGGGGCTTTATGATAGAACACAGAACAGTAGAGACATATGTTCATATGTTCAGAGACATATGTGATTTTTAACATATCTAGTTGTTTTAAGCTTCTTAACTCTTGAACTGAATTACTGCCCTAAGGGGCTTTGGCCTGTGTTTCATCTCATATATACCCTAGTAAAACAGGAAGTCATGGCTGACCATTTAAGTGTTTCTAATCGCTCAGGTGAACTTTAAAACATAAAATATGAATGGGAATATACTTCGGTTACATTTCACTCTCAAGAATTTCTAGGGGTGCCAACAACTGTGGCACACATTGTTTCATGACAAGATTTAGTTTTTTCTTTCAACCATTATACATTAAATAAAGGTTAGATTTTTACAAATATTTTGATTGAAAAATCAATAATTAAAAATATTTTTTACAGCTCATTTCGCTCATGATTACCAGGGGTGCCAATATTTGTGGAGGGCACTGTATGTTTAATTGTTTTGTTTTTACTTGCAAAAACATGAAGCATAGATAAGAGAGAATAAAATTTCGATGCATATCAATGGTAACATATGAAGAGTCTAAATTACATTATGGATGTCATCCTGGCAATATGACTAATTAAAATGGCTTTATTGATAGGTATACTTGATATTAAGACTAGTAGAAATTGCTTAGTAGTCAAGGTATGGAAAGGTATAGTTTTTACTAGGCTGCATTATAGATCTCTCGAATTCGAGGTTTTACTAAAACAGGGTTACGACTTGTATCGCTGGTATCATTTTAGGATAAAACGACTAGGCTTTTTGCATATATCTGTAAAGAGCAACTTACAAGTGTTTTTTGAATCGTCTTCTTAGCGGAGAGCGTTGTATGTGAAACACATATTCCGTAGCTTTAGTAGTCTACAGACTAGTGAGGCTACCCTTAAATGACACTGCTGCTCCTGATTGTGTGTCAAAAACACTTCATTTCGAAAAGCTCCTGCGTTGTGTAGACTCGTTCTACAAACACTTGAACAATCAAGCTTTGCAAAACCACGTTACTGCTCCGTGAAACACGCAACAGTTGCCGAAAAGGGCATGACTTCTTTGTCAAAATAAAAGTCGGCAGTGAACCATAGATATACATACCTAGATGACGTGTTGGGTCCAGTCGGGCACGTCAACGGCGCCGCCATTTTGGGGCGGTCAACATCGCTGCTGGACAGCATTCAATGCCATTAAAGAGCGGCAGTTTAAGAAAGATACTGTCCAAAATTATGCTATTTCAAGAATATTGCACTAAGAAAGCGGGATAGGATTATAAAACGGAGGAAACGCAGCTATTCACGCTCATGTTTGTGTGCTGCGTATTTTTTGTGTCATGTTTATGTGTAGAAATTGCCGTGTGGTTGATGAGGCACAGAGAACCTGTCGATGTGATTGTTTTTCCTCTGGTTGTGCATTAAGCTTATCTCATTAAATAATCTGTTCAGTGGATCTTAACTTTATGTAGTAGTTATTTATTTACAAGTTCTTTGTAGCTAGATAAATTATAGCATCCTTTAATCCGTGTAGATATTCATAATACATTAACGTTAGCACCTTCTTACACGAAGCTTAAGTCAACATCTTATTTGCCAGCTTCTTGTCTGAATGTTCCCGCTCCACCTTAAATGGTGCATCAGGCAGCATCTTGTCCGAATGTGGGACTTGGTCAGGGCTTGTATTGAAACCTAACAGACATTAGAAGTTGCAATCAGGTTATGAACCTAACCTTTACTTTGAAATAAAAATAACTTTAGTTCAATATTAAGTGTCATGGTCTCAGTGGACCATGAATATAGTCTGTACATGCAATAGAAGGGGGCGGCACGGTGGCACAGACCACACAACAAGAAGGGCCTGGATTCAATTCCCGGCCGTGGGTTTCCACAGTCCAAAAACATGCAGTCAGGCCAATTGGACGTGCTAAATTGCCCCTAGGTGTGAGTGTGTGTGTGTGTGTGGATGTATATGTCTGTTTGTCTGCCCTGCGATGGACTGGCGACCTGTCCAGGGTGTATCCTGCCTTTCGCCCGATGACAGCTGGGATAGGCTCCAGCACGCCACCGCGACCCAGAAGGATAAGCGGTTTAGATGATGGATGGATGGATGCAATAGAAGGTCTCATTTGTTGTTTGCGGTCTTAGTGCGCCACCTACTGGCCGCTACAGGTTATTTACTTTATAATATGTGGATTCACGTTCTCTCCGGTTTTCACAGTGGATAAGAGAGTCCTAGTTCACTCGTTGTCGCCTCACGTTCAAGTCACAGTTAGAATCAGTTTGCTTTTAAAGGCATTCTTTTCACCACGTGGGCAATGCCCATAAGTATAACTTGTTTTCTTTTCACTTCGTATACCTATAAAAGCAAGCAACATTCTATGTAGCTTTCTTTCCTTCCGTAATGGCGGCTAAATTTAACTTGGTCCCAGATACTGTCGAGCATGTCAGTGAGATTCATATTCTGTAAGAATGTGCGCTTCACTGAGATATGTATGAGCTAAAAAGCATTTATGTGTATTTTTGCAGTTTTACGTTAAAGGAATAGGAGAAAAGGAACTAAAGATCAAGCTCTGCAGCTTGATCTGCATCAATGTTCGTTGTCCATCTTATAGCGTTGTGTTGAGCTTGAACTAAGTAGCAGAAACACTTAGTGAGCCCAGTACATTTAGAACATTAAAAAAGGCAGCCTCTATTAAGTCCTAATCGAGTAAAAAAATGTGATGTCCAGTCTGTTCCTACACATATTAAGGACATTTTATGGAAGAAATGTCTGTTCATAAACACTATTATGAGTTCACGTTAAGACAATACTGCACAGGGTTTCCTATGTTTCTAACGCGCTTTAGCGCTTGTGGAGTGCTGGAAACGCCTTTTCAGTGTGAAGAAGCACCTAAATTCACGAATCCATTATTGTAGATGTTTAGTCACCCAAGTTAAAGTAATCATGTTTATCTTTAGAAAGGTAATTGACTGTCTGTTCCCACACATTTAAAAGATATTTTATGGTACATATATCTGGTCATAAATTTTATTATGAGTTCACGTTAAGACAAACCGCAGAGTTTCCAGCCTTTCTAAAGCGTCTGAGCGCTGGTGGAGTGCTGGAAACGCCTTTTCAGTGAGAAGAAGCGCCTAATTCCACGAATTCATAATGGTACTGGTGTGGTCACCCAGGTTAGTCACATTTTTTCCATTGTTCCCACGCATGTAAAGGATATTTTATAGCAGAAATGATCGTTTATAAACTTTATGATGAGTTCACGTTAAGACAACAGGTAATAGCGTTTCCAGCCTTTCTGAAGCGTCTGAGCGATTGTGCAGTGATGGAAACGCTTTTTCAGTGTGAAGAAGCACCTAAATCCAAGACTTCATGATTGTACAGGTGTAGTCACCCAATTTAAAGTAGTCGTATAGTTTCTTTAAAAAATATAATTCCCCGTCTGTTCCCACGCGTATAGAGGATATGTTAGGGTAGAAATATCTGCTGTTTAACATTATGATAAGTTCACGTTAAAACAATAATGCATAGGATTCCAGCATTTCTAAAGCGTCTGAGCGCCTGTGGACTGCTGGAAAAGCCTTTTCAGTGTGAAGAAGCGCCGAAATCCAAGACTTCATGATTGTATAGTTGGAGTCACCCAAGTTTAAAAGTAGTCATATTTTTGATTAAGAAAATGTGATTTACTGTCTGTTCCCACACATTTAAAGGATATTTTAGGGCAGAAATGTATGTTCATAAACATGATAATGAGTTCACGTTAAGATAATACTGCATGGCCTTTCAAGCCCTTCTAAAGCGTTTGAGCGCTTGTGGAGTGCTGGAAACGCCTGATAATGATGAAAAAGCGCCTGAATCCACGACTTCATGATTGTACAGGAGTGGTCACCCAAGTTAAAGTAGTCATATTATTACTTTATAAAATGTAATTTACAGTCTGTTCCCACACATTTAAAAGATATTTAATGGCAGAAAAATCTGAGCATAAACTTTATTATGAGTTCAAATTAAAACAATACTGCATAGCGTTTCCAGCTTTTCTAACACGTCTGAGCGCTTGTGGAGTGCTGGAAAGGCCTTTTCAGTGTGAAGAATCGCCTAAATCCACGACTTCATGATTGTACAGGTGGAGTCACCCAAGTTAAAGTAGTCATATTATTTCTTTAGAAAATGTGATTTATTGAATGTTCCCACACATTTAAAATATATTTTTTTGCAGAAATATCTGTTGATGATCACTATTTTGAGTTCACGTTAAAACAATACAACGTAGAGTTTCCAGGCTTTCTAAGGCGTCACCCAACTCAAAGTAGTCATATTTTATTAAGAAAATGTGATTTATTGACTCTCTGTTCCCACATTTTTAAAATATATTTTATGGCAGAAATATCTGTTGATGATCACTATTATGAGCTCACAGTAAGGCAATACTGCATAGCGCTTCCAGCCTTTCTAAGGTGTTTGAGCGCTTGTGGAGTCCTGGATTCGCCTTTTCAGTGTGAAGAATCGCCAAAATCCACGACTTCATGATTGTACAGGTGGAGTTAGCCAAGTTAAAGTAGTCATATTATTTCTTTAGAAAATCTGATTTACTGTCTGTTCCCACACATATAAAAGATGTATTAGGGTACAAATGCCTGTTTATTAACATTATAATGAGTTCACGTTGAGACAATTCTGCATAGCGTTTCAAGCCCTTTTAAAGTAGTCATATTTTTCCTTCGAAAATGTGATTTACTGTCTGTTCCCACACATGTAAAGGATATTTTATGGCAGAAATATCTGTTTATAAACACTATTATGAGATCACGTTAAGACAATACTGCACAGCGTTTCCAGCCTTTCTAAGGTGTTTGAGCGCTTGTGGAGTGCTGAAAACGCCTTTTCAGTGTGAAGAAGCGCCTGAATCCACGACTTCATGATTATACAGGTGGAGTCACCCAGGTTAAAGTAGTCATATTTTTTCTTTATAAAATGTGATTTACTCTCTGTTCCCATGCATTTAAAGCACATTTCATGGCAGAAATGTCTGTTCATAAACACTATTATGAGTTCACGTTAAGATTTTACTGAATAGCATTTCCAGCCTTTCTAAAGCGTCGGAGGGACTGTTGATGATCACTATTTTGAGTTCACGTTAAAACAATACAACGTAGAGTTTCCAGGCTTTCTAAGGCGTTTGAGCCCTTGTGGAGTCCTGGATTCGCCTTTTCAGTGTGAAGAATCCCCAAAATCCACGACTTCATAATTGTCCAGGTGTAGTCACCCAAGTTAAAGTAGTCATATTTTTTCTTTAGAGAATGTGACTTCCATGATTTTCATTATTTTTCATTATTTAACATTTACAGACCACCAGGGCCCTACACAGAATTTTTAAAAGAATTTAGTGATTTCGCTGCAAACCTAGCTGTGTGCAATGATAAAGTAATAATTGTAGGAGATTTTAATATCCATTTTGAAAAGGCAGGTGACCCACTAAAAAAGGCATTTACTTCAATCCTAGACTCTGTTGTTATTACCCAAAATGTAACAGGGCCTACACACTACTGTAGTCACACTTTAGATCTAGTTCTGACACTTGGACTTGACATAGACAGGCTTAATATCCTACCGCAAACCTCAGTAATCGCTGACCATTACTTAATTTCTTATGAGCTACGTCTTAGCCATAATATATGTACGTCCCCTCGCTATTCTACAAAGCGCTCAATAAAACCATTTACGGCCCTGCAATTCATAGAAAACCTCCCAGAACTAACAACCCTAGTCTCCACTCCATCAGACCCAATGGAGCTAGATGTACTAACCGACTATTTAGAAAATACCTTTCGATCTACTTTAGAAAATGTGGCGCCACTTAAAATCAAAAGGATAAGACAGAAAAAGTTTGCCCCATGGTACGATGATAAAACCCGTACCTTAAAACAAACAGTACGGAAACTAGAGCGGAAATGGCGATCAACCAAGCTAGAAGTGTTCCACTTGGCCTGGAAGGAAAGCCTTATAGAGTATAGAAATGCTCTCACTAAAGCTCGCTCAGCGTATCTGG